TCTCCTTCCGCTGACTACGTCCGGTCGTCGGCGCCGCGACGGCCCGCCGGGCCGCTCTCCGCCCGCCGCCCGCCGCGCCCCTCCTTGTCGAGAAGCTTCTGTCCGAGGATGGATGTGCCGAGCCCGTCTGCCTCCACCTCGGCTGAGCTCTCCAACCACTCCTCCTTGTGCGGGGGCCACCCACCAGCCTCTCCCGCCTCGCCCTCCTCTCCCGCCTCGCCCTCCTCTCCCGCCTCGCCCTCCTCTCCCGCCTCGCCCTCCGCCTCGCCCTCCGCCTCGCCCTCCGCCTCGCCCTCCTCGGCCCCCGCCTCGACCTCCGGATCCTCCGGGTCGCACGACTCGTCTCCGTCCGACTCGTCGTCTTCCTCCGTCTCCGCATCCTCCTCCTCCTCGGCGGCCGGCTGCTGCGACGGCAGCGCCGCGTGCTGCTGCTGCGCCCACAGGCCGGGCCTGCACACGGGCGGTGACCTCGGGCGGGAGAGATCGGGAGATCTCGGGAGATCTCGGGAGATCTCGGGTGATCTCGGTAGATCTCGGGAGATCTCGGGTCACGGGCCGGGCGCCTGCACACGACGGCGAGAGACCAGTGCAGGCTCTCGTTGATCGGCACGAAGATGTAGTCCTTGGAGAAGAGGTCGACGTGCCTAGGGGGGGAGGGGGGGGGAGGGGTTCGGGGTTCGGGGTTCGGGGTTCGGGGGAGGGGGGAGGGGGAGGGGGAGGGGGAGGGGGGAGGGGGCTAGCCGCGCAGCCGGGCGCCTCTTCCTCTCCGTACGCACGGCCCCCACAGAGGCCTCTCCCTCTCCAAGAGGGAAACGCGGAGAGGGAGAGGCGAGCAGACTAGAGGGGGAGGGGAGGCGAGGGGGGGGGCGGCGCGCTTTGTCCAGCGGCGGACGTGCTGGTAGGCGTCCTCGCGCTCCTTTGCCGACGACCCGCCCTGCATGGACTGCAGCAGCCGCTTGTAGAAGAAGGAGTTGAAGAAGTGGCACCGCTCGAACATCTCCGGGTCGAGGCTCTTGAGCTCCTCCTGCGGAACGGCGAGTGTGCGGCGTAAAGAGTGTGCGGCGTAAAGAGTGTGCGGCGTAAAGAGTGTGCGGCGTAAAGAGTGTGCGGCGCGGCGAGTGTGCGGCGTGAGGGGGGGGCGGACGGAGTGATGACGCGGGCCTCGCCCTCCCCCCCCCCCCCCTGGCCTGGAAGAAGCGCAGCCGGTAGTCGACCAGCGAGTCGTTAAGGAACTCGCCCTCCTCGAGCCGCGCCTGGAACACGAAAGGCGTCTCGCGTTAGTCGCCTTGCGGTCCTCGCCCCCTCCTCGAGCCGCGCTTGAGAGAGAACCGCGCAAGGCACGCGCTCCACCCGCAAGGCACGCCCCCCGCCCCCGCCCGGGTCTCTCTCTCTCTTCGCTTCTTCTCTGCTCGCGTCTTCTTCTCTTGTCCTCTCCTCTCTTGTCCTCTCCTCTACTCTCTCGCCAGCTCGTCCTCCGTCAGAACGATCGCGTCCTTGGCAGCCTTGTTCGGGTACACTGCAATCCGCGCAGCCTTGTCGCCCTTGCGCCGGACACCAAAGTCGGCGAAGCCGGCGTCAGAGTTGCGCCGCGTCCGCCGCCCAGACCGCACGCCTGCGGGGGCCGAGCCGTGCACGCGTCGCCGCCGCGTCGCGGTCACACACACACACACGCAAGGCTTGCGCGGCTGCAGCAGCGCGCCTCCGCCCGGCCCGGTCTCCGCGGTGATCTGCACCTCGTCGTCCTCCTCCTCCTGCGCGTGCGAGAGAGATCGCAGGCATCACGGGGGGGGGAGGGGGGTACGTCGCGGCGGCGGTGAAGGGGGGGGGGGGGGGGTCCCCCGAAGCTGCGGCGCCCGCTGCCCCTTCCCTGCCCAGCGCCCCCCCCTGCTGTCCCGGAAGTCCGAAAAGGTGGTCTGGCGCCCTCCGTAGCTGTGGGGCGGAGGCGGCCTCGGCTTGGCGCGCGCGGGCTGCTTCCCGCTGCTGGCCGCCGCGAGCTGCCGCGATCCGGCGCTGGAGCCGCCGCCGCGGCTCGTGGCAGCGCCGCGGCTCGTGGCAGCGACGCGCTCATCGCAACGGGCAGCAGCGGAGGCTCGCGCAGCTGCGGCGGCGCCGGGCGCGCTGCTTCCTCCGGCGTCGGAAGCGCTGCTGCCACCGAGCTTGCCGTTCTGGAAGTTGGTCCTCGCCTTGAGCCGCGGGATCGCCTTGAGCACCTCGAGAAAGTTGTGATACGTCTTGAAGCCGAGGCAGAGGTAGCCCTTTGGCGAGCCTGCAACCGAAGGGGAGGAGGGCAACGTGAGCAAAAGAGGAGTGCTGGCGCGCGCAGGGCGTGCAGCGGGAAAAGAGCTGCGTACCGACGTTGGAGAAGGGGTCGTACCAGCGGTTGAGCGCGTCCAGCGGCACCTCCACAACACCGCGGATCTTGAGCACGTTGCTTCGCTTGTCAAAGATTGCGCTGCTGATGCTCGACGTCTTGAGCTTGATGGTGCAGAAGCCAATACCTTCCGGCACCTCGCGCGCGGTGATCCAGCTGAAGAGGTCGAGCTCGAAGCTGACCGTGCCCTCGCCAGACTGCCACGTGCCGACCTTGATCTCCTTGCACCACTGCTTGATCTCCAGCGGCTTTGGCTTGGGGTCGAGGCCTTGCAACGGGGACAGCAGGCTCGCGCTTCGCACCGGCGCGACGGATGTGCTGGACCCCGGCCGCGAAGACGCGGCGCCCAGCTGCTGGGCGGGAGTGGACGCTGTGCTTGCCTGCTTCTGCAGCCAATCCGGCCGAGATGCAGCCCCCTTTACCGCGGGACGCTCGTAGCCAACAGGCGCGCGCTGGAGCGGCGCTTCGTTGCCGCGCGGACGGTTCTGGTCGGTCTTTGGCGGGTCGCGCGCGCCGTCGGGCGGCTCGGTGCGCGCGGGCTTCCCCAATTCCTTGCCGATGCTCCTCATGATGGCGCTCGACATGAGAGCGAAGAATGTCCCGCGCGCCAACCAGGCAGGCGTGACCGTTTTCTTTCTTTCGGTGAGCCGGTGCCAGTCCGCGCCAGTCCGCGCCCTTGTCGTGCCAGTGTGCTGTGAGAGAGGCTTGTATTTTAAGAATTCTTTCTTTCTTTGGCACTAACACAGAATAATAATTAAGTTGAAAACAACTCTCTCACACAGAAAAAAGAATTTTCAGCCAGCACTGCCAGAAAAAAGAATTCTCGGCGCCCAAACATAAAAACAATAACACCAACAACAAACCTAAACTGTGCGTCGGTCGTGTCCAACGTGGTGCGGTCGCTCGGCTGCCGCCTGTGCCGCGCGCCGCACAAGCCGCATCAGGTCACCGGCGGGCTTCCGGGCGGCGTGCACAGGTCGACGACGACCGCCTCCTCGTCGGCTGCGGGTCGGTGCCGCGGCACTGTCATCGGAGTCATGGTCACACACAAGCACGTGTCCGAGTCGAGCCCCGCGTCCTTCGAGTCGCGCTCCTGCTCCTGCTCCTGCTCCGGCTCCTGCTCCTGCTCCTCCTCCTCCCATTCCACGCCAAACGAGAAGTCTCCTTGGAAGAGGCCCGAGCCGCCGTGCTGGCCATGGTTCGAGCTGCCGCCCGCCGCCTTGAGGATTTTCATGCTATGCGCTGGGCGGAAGCGCTCCTTCACCTTGCTCACCACCTCCATCATCAGGGCTGTGCTGAAGCCCGACTTCTTCCAGGAGAGTGGTTTGACGCGGACTTGGTCATCGGAGCCGTTGACGACATCCGTGAGCATGTCGAAAAGCTGCGTCGCGCACGCTTGCGCATCGCGCACCCTCAGGGACGCGTCGTGGCCGATGATCGTCACGTCCTTGAGGAGCCCGCTCGCGTGGTTGTCCTTGTCGGCCTGCTCGAGGGGCGACATCGCGTGGCACGTGGAGAAGTAAATGGCCTTGATGTACGGCGCCCCGTGGACGATGTCCGCGGCAATGTCGAGCAGCAGCGCCGACGCAGTCTTGGGGACGGTGGAATCGACTTGAGGGACGCCCGAGAGCCAGCCGGCCGCATAGTCCTCCTCATCGAAAGAGACGCTGCCATCATCACTGCCGTGGATGATGACAACGGCCAGCGTGTGCAGTCGCGCGGCGGAGGAGGAGGACGGGCCGGCAGAGGAGGACGGGCCGGCGGACGACGACGACGGGCCGGCGGAGGAGGAAGACGGGCCGGCGGAGAAGGACGACGGGCCGGCGGAGGAGGCGGCGGCGGAAGAGGACGAGGCGCAGCAAGAAGCGTCTGGCGCGGCGGCGGCCGCCCCCTCCTCAACCTTTGTGATAGTGTCGAGCTTGCGCAACGGCCCCGCGACGTCAAGGGCGAGCGCGCTGCGCGTCCGAATCACGTCGCTCGCCTCGTCTGCGAGCAGCGCAAAACGGCCGGTGAGCTCGGCGCTACCCCTGCAATAACCAAAGAGCCGCGTCGAGCCGGGTTCGGTCTGCTCCTTGTCGCAGATCAGCGACGGGAAGAGGGCGACCACCATCTCGTTGGGCTCCCACTTGTCGGTCTTGGCCGGCGGGCAGTGCAGCTTGCTCACCTTATCGAGGACGAGCCCTGCCCCGGGCCTCGCAAGGAAGGGCTTCTTCTCCTTTGCCTCCGCCCCCTCGGGCTCAGGCTCGCCCTCGGGCTCAGCAAGCCCCGCCGCGGCCTCGAGCGCTCGCTTGGCGGAGGTGGTCGCCATGTACGTCTTGGCGATCAGCGCGAGCGTGCGCTCCTCAACCTCGCCGCCGTCCCGCGCGGCGTTGATCAGCACCTGCGTGTCGTCGTCGTCGAGGCAGACCCCCCTTGTGCGCGCGGTGGCGAGGTCGAGCAAAACGCGGTTGTACTTGACGCCGTCTATCCACCGGTAGAGCACCGTCTGCGCCTGCTGCTGCGCCCGCTGCGCCTGCCGCTGCTCCGCAGCCCTCTCTGACGAGCGGCGCTGCTCGAAGCTGCCGTGGCGGCGGCAGGCCTCGCTGCAGAACCACTCCTGCCCCTGCTCAGGAGGGGAAGAGAGGCACTGCGGGTGACAGCCAGCCTCGCAGCCCTCGGCGTCGCAAACGAGCATCTCGTTGCCCTCCTCGTCGTTCTCCTTCCTGCATTTCATGCACGACGCCGTCCTCCCGCCCTTCCTGAGGGGCTGACTGGCACACGTCCACCCTAGTCGCCGCCCACCAGGGGCGTCATCATCAGCAACCCAGTTCACCTTGGGCCGGTTCGCGTCGCCGCGGGCTGCGTTGGCGCTGCTGCGAGGGCGGCTCGAGTCTGACTCATCGCCGTCGGCGCGGGACCGCTTCGAAGCCCCACCCACAGGCCGCTCTGGTGTCGGCGGCCGCGGCTCTGGTGCCGGCTGCGGCTTGCCGAGGGCGCGAGCGGCGGCGGCGGCGGAGCTCTCGGCTGAGGAGGAGGAGGCGGCCGTGGAGGAGGGGGCGGCCGTGGGGGCAGCCGTGGAGGAGGGGGCGGCGGTGGAGGAGGGGGCGGCCGTGGAGGAGGCGGGAGCGGCCCAGGGCTGGGACCGCCGCTCTGGTGGCGGCGGAGAGGGCGCGTTGCGGATGCGGAGCGGCGGGCTCTCCAGGCCAGCAGGCAGGCCCTCGGCAGCAGGCGTGCTCGGATCGGCGGACGCGCTGGCCGCGGCGGCGACCAGGCCGGCATCTGCGGTATCCGCCGGCTCCATCATTCGCCGTGGCGCGGTTTTCTTTTCTCGCCGTCGTGGCCGAAACACCGGGCACACGCACGCTCTCTCAAGGTCTCTTGGAGCAGAGCCCCGGCGAGTCCTCGAAAGAGCTACCCAAATGGGTCCTCGGAGAGGGTACCCTGGGTGGGCGGGGCCTCCTGCGGGAGGCTTCCGAGACGGTTCAGAGAAAGCTCGCGCCGCTCCGGTCCCGGCCAACCCGCCGCGCGCCTCCTCCGAGTCAGGCCCTGGCCGCCGACATCGAGACCGACGCGCGCGCGGCTGCCGGGACGAGGGCCTGGCGGCTGGCGGTGCGCGCCGGCTCCTCCCTGCCCGCCGAGCTCATCCCCCACTTGTCGTCCCAAGCGACGTCGACCGTCGCCTGCGGCCGGAGGGAGAGGGGCGAGGGGTGGGTGGTGGGCGGACGGGGGCGGGCCGGCGCTGTCGTCTCTCTTCCCCCGACGGGTGACCGAGCTCCGCCCCGTCGGCGGTGGTGCTGTGGCATAGTGCGCTAATGGCGGTGGGTTGGACGGACGCGTCTACTCTATCACGTCGGCGAGCTCGGGCAGGCCGTCCCGCACCACCTCGACGACCAGCCGCGCCTGCAAGCGCAACACGTCCGAATCGTGACACGCGCAGGCGCTCGTCTGGCACGCCGCTCTCGAGCCGCACGGGCGCGCGCCGCGTCGTTGCGCGAGATGAGCGGCGGCTCGCGGGCGTCGGGTGACGCGACGCGCTCGAGAAGCTGCCGGTCGCCCGAGCCGAACGCGAGGGGCACGCCTGCGGTCGTTGGCGGACAGCCACGCGTGAGCGCGGCTCGCCCCGCGCCCGTGCCAGCTCATGACAGAGTGTGTGGTCCCACAGACAGTGGCAAGGCGCCCTGTGCATGTGGGACGGCGCAGGACGCGGCGCTCGGGCGCAGCCAAGCGCCGATCGCGAGGCCGATCGGGTGTGCTTGTGTGTGGCCGGGCCTTGCACCGCCAGAGCTGTCGACGAGCGCCCCAAGCCGCAGTACAGTGTACGAGACGCCTCGCTGGCCGCAGCGCGTGCGGAGCGCGGCCTCGGCGTCCGCCTGCGCAGCTATGGCCGCCGGACCGCCCATCCGCGTTACAGCCTCTGCCAGCTCCGCTGCCCCATCGACCGCCTCCCCGCCTCCGCTCGGCTCGCTCACCGCCCGCAGCGCCGCAACCCCCATCGACGATCGGAGGACGACGTGGCGCATGCCGGAGGCCGACGCCGCGGCCGCCACCTCGGTGCCCAGCCGCCTATTCGCCGCCGCGCCGGCAACCGGCGGAACTCGCACGTTCACCCCCGAGCCTCCCGACTCTGCGACCGCTGCCAGGTACTCACTCGAGGCGCGCGCCATGTACTGCCTCCCGGTCTCGATGCCATCGTCTGGCTGGCCATCGGCGTCCAGGCCTCCCGCCGATAGGAGCGCCTCGTCCCGCTTCGCCGCCGCTGGGGTGGCTGAGATGAAGTCGGCGTGCGCCGCCGACAGCAGCACGGCCACGTCCACTCCCTCAAACGCCTTGCCGAGGGCCTGTTGCTCGTCCGCATCGTCCGGCACGACGCAGAGCTCGATATGTAGGTCCTTTTGGAGGTCGAGCAGAGGGAAGAGCGTCCCGTTGCGGAGCACAGCGCCGCACATGTCAAGGCGTAAGCGCGAGGCCTCTTCCTCGTTCCGCACCACAGCTCGGAGCTGCAGCGTCTGGGAGGGTGAGACCTGCTCCCGGAGTTGGCCGATGACGCTCACGCCCATACGACCGGCGGCATGGGTGACGGCAACGACCAAAGCATCGGCCGAGAGCAGCAGAGCCGAGAGCAATAACGCCTTCATGTCTGCGGCAGTCTTCAGGGCAGCAGGGGTGTCCTTCCAGTGGTGCTGAGAGGATTTCGCCGCAAGAATTCTTTTTCCCGACTCGGCACTTGATCAAGCCCTGAGTGGCGTAGTGCCGTACGCTTACTCGGGATGTGTGGCAGCCCCCAGCTGGCTGAGTGTCTTGTGAGCTTGTGTGTGTATGTGTGTCGCTCGCGCGCGTGTCGTCCTCTTCTGTCCCGCGTCCACCCCCGCGCTGGTGTCCAGTCCGAGCCAGACTGTTCTTCGCCTTCCTATCAATGTATGTTTATGGTAGCGCGATTGTGCGTCAGGCGAAAGGCGAGCGCCGGCGGAAGGTGGCACGCCGAGCGTGTCAGCCAAGGGAGGCGATTGCGCGTCAGGCCAAGTTGTTGTTGGCCGACGACGTCGACTTCGCCTCGGCTTTGCGATGCCGAATCCGCTCTTGTTCGTCGGCCGGGGATCGGCGCTGACGGCGCGGCGGCCCGAGCGGCTGACAAGGCGAACGAAGGCGGCGGAGCATTCCAGCGGCTGGGCGAGGGCCCGCCGCCGCCCGCCTCTCGAGCGGCACGGTGTGCACCGCCTCCGCCGGCCACGCGAGCCGGATCGCCGCGCCGCGTGAGTGTTAGATTTTGTTTGGTAGTGCTAAATTTCGCAGAAGTTGGATATCGGGGGATGTCATCCTGTCTCCAGACAGCCCTCTCCACCACCATCGCGCAGGTATCTACAACCACAAACATTCACACAGCACATATATTGTTCACAGCAGAAGGCGGCGCGAGATTGCGGCGGGATCACTCGCGGACCAACGTGGGGTCCAACCCAACCAAGGGGAACTCAAAGTCAACTCAAAGACACTCAGGGGGACAGCCTGGCCCTCTTTCGCGATGATGCAGCCGTCTGTCGCGCCACCAACCAAGGCCCAAGGCGTACCTCCTCTCGAGAAGAGAAGAGCGGCGGGATCGCCGAGATCAAGCACCGCGGCCTCAAGGAGAAGATCCCCGTCATCAAGCACCTTGGCGGCGGCGGCGACGACGACAACTTGAATGGCAGGGCCCCGATTCGCGGCGTCCTCCAGAAGGTGGACGTCGGGCTTAAGTAGGGTGCCCACAGGGCCCAAAAAAAGAAAGGAAAAAAGAAATGGGCCTCCCCCGATCGCAGCACTTCGTGTTGGCCAGTCGAGAAATTGAGAGTGTGACTAGGAGGGTGGGACGCTGGGGATTCTCAAAGGTATACCCTTGGAATGGCCGGATCCAGCCTTAAAAGTACGAGATCGCGCACGCTTCGCGCGCTGCACCGCCTATTCTCCGCGGCTGAGTGACGACGCGTGCCGTGTGCCAGCAGAGTTGGGCGCGCGCGGCGCGACGGCGCCCGCGAGGAAAGGCGCGGGTGCAGCGGCCGCCGGCGGCCGTACCGCCCGCCAGCCGGCGCAGCAGCGGCCAGCGCAGCGGCCGCCGGCGCAGCAGCCAGATCAGCCGGTGCGCGCCTTGCGAGGCGAGTACTGCCGCCCGGCAGCCTTGAGGCGGCCGGGCGGCAGTACTCGTTCGAACTTTGCGAGCCGTGCGCGCGCCGAGGCGCCCGCGGCGCGCGCCCGCCCGGCTGCCAGTAGGAGGCGGCGCAATATGGCCTATAGTACAGCCCTTGGGGAGGAGGAAGAGGCTGGCTGGCAGTGCTGTATGCCGCCGAGGGGCAGTTTTGGGGTGCTGTCACGGGCCCAGGGGGCTGCAGAAGGTGTCCGCAGCCGGGACAACCCGCCCCCCCAGCCGAGGCCGGTCGAAGCCCACTTGGGCACAGCCATGAGGAGTCCTCTTGGTGCTCCTGGCGGCCGTTGGAATGGCGAGCGCGCGCCGATGGGGGGGGGGGGGGGTCTTGCTTGCTCCACACCGAGCGCCATCGGTCCGGACCGGTGCACTCACCGAGGGGTGGCCTGCACAAGGTCTGAGCCGCGGGCGCTCGGCGCCAAGTGCAGTGTCACGCTCGCGCTCGCGCGTGACAAACCGGGGAACCCTCGTTTCCTATGTACTCGGTCCCCCAACGGAAGAGGCCTCGCTCCTATTGGAACTGGCCAACATCAGATTTGCCTCGTGCGTCCCTTTTTGAGTAGGAAAGCTATTTTCTTTTGGGTCCTGTGGGCACCCTAGCTTAAGAAGATCACGGGCGCTCTCGATCACCGATTTGTGCTCTCGGCCGTCGGCGGCGACAACCTCGGCGGCTTGCTCGACAACCTCCTCAAAAAGGTCTATTCGTTCGTCAAGAACAACGCGCTCGAGCTGGTCAAGACTCTCCTTCGGGAGCTGGTCCACTGCGGTGGCCAGTCGATTGAGTCGCTCGAGGCGTGTGCTATCCTCGGGCCGACCCCACACTATGGCATAGGCGCGCCACACTACACAATGAACCATGCGCTCCGATCACGTGCAAGAAGGTGAGGAGACCAGTGTGGCGATCTGTGCAGCCGGCAACACTTTTCACTGCGCCCCCTGCCACTCTCGGATCATCCGGCGCAGGATGTGGCTGGGGAAGAGGCCTGTGTTGCCAAGCTCTTCGCCCGTCATCGGGCTTGTCGACTTGGTTGCGAGCCAGCGCTCGATGGCCGACCGCTCATACGCGTGCCCATCGGCCGCCATCACCGGGTCGCTCATGATCTCGGTCGTGATCGGGCAGACGAAGTCGGTCGGCGGCTCCTCCCCCGGCGGCGCCTCCGGCTCTGGCGGCTGCTCCACCGCCGCCCGCCTCTCCTCCTCCAGCCTCGCGCTCTCCTCGAGCGCCGCCGCCAATTCCGCCTCCTCTCCCGCCGCCGCCGCCTCGGCCGCTGCCTCCTCTTCCGCCTTCTCCCCGGGCTCCCGCGACGGCCCAGCGCCGCCCCCCCCGCCCTTCCCTTTCTTCTTCTTCTTCTTGCCCTTCTTGCTCTCCTTGGCGCGCTCCGCCTCCTTCTCCGCCTCCTCCTCCGCCAGCAGCGCCTCGGCATGCCGCGCCGCCTCCGCCTCCGCCGCCGCTCTCTCCGCCTCCCTCGCCGCTGCCTTCGCCGCCGCCTCCACTGCCGCCTCCGCCGCCGCCGCATGCTCCTCGAGGGCGCGCACGCACCCGGCGTGGCCCTTCTCCTTGGCCATCTGCAGCGCCGTCCTGCCGCTCGCAGAGCACAACACCGCGTCTGCGCCCGCCCGCAACAGGTGGAGGACGACGGCGGAGTGGTCGGAGAAGCCGGTGGCGTACATCAGCGCGGTGAACCCGAGGTCGTTCTGCAGATTGATCTCCGCCCTGTGCTGCAACAGCAGCTCGACCACCCGCTCGTGGCCCTCCTGGGCGGCGTACATCAGCGCGACGTAGCCGTCGTTGTCCTGCTTGTTGATCTCCGCGCCGCGCTGAAGTAGTAGCTCGACCATCCGCTCGTCGCCTTGGCTGGCGGCGCCCATCAGCGCGGTGCTGCCGTCGCTGGCCTGCAGGTCGACCTCCGCGCCGCGCTGCAGCAGCGTGTCGACCACCCGCTCGTGGCCTTGGCCGGCGGCGTCCATCAGCGCGGTGTCGCCGTTGCTATTCTGCAAGTCGATCTCTGCGCCGCGCTGCAGCAGCAGCTCGACCACCCCCTCTTGGCCCTCCTGGGCGGCGTACATCAGCGCGGTCCAGCCGTCGCTGGCCTGCAAGTTGATCTCCGCCCCGCGCTGCAACAGAAGATCGACCACCCAATCGTGGCCGTTGCCGGCGGCGCACATCAGCGCGGTGCCGCCGTTGCTTTTCTGCTTGTTGATCTCCGCGCCGCGCTGCAGCAGAAGGTCGACCACCCGCTCGTGGCCGTTAGTGGCGGCGACCATCAGCGCGGTGCCGCCGTTGCTGTTCTGCAAGTTGATCTCCGCGCCGCGCTGCAGCAGCAGCTCGACCATCCCCTCTTGGCCCTTCTGGGCGGCAAGCATCAGCGCGGTGACGCCGCTCACATCGTCGACCGCGCAAGTCGCGTTAACCCGCCCGCCGCTGTCAAGCCACGCCAGCAGCGCCGCCTCTTCGCCTCGCGCAGCCGCCTGCCTGGCCTCTTCGGAAAGGCTGCCCGGTGAGCCGGAAGAGGCCGCGGCCCTCGCTCCCGCCGCCGCCTCGCCCGAGGAAGCACCGCCCACACCGCCCGCCGCCGCCTCACGCTGGGCCGCAGTCACCTCTGCGACGTGCTGCCGGAAGGCGCCGACGCACGCTGCGTGGCCCTTCTCCTTGGCCCACTGCAGCGCTGTCTTGCCGTCCTCAGAGCGCACCGCTGTATCCGCGCCCGCGCGAAGCAAGCGGAGGACGACGGCGGGGTGGTCGTTGCCGGCGGCGACCGTCAGCGCGGTGTCGCCGTCGCTATCCTGCTTGTTGGTCTCCGCTCCGCGCCGCAACAGAAGATCGACCACCCGCTCGTGGCCTTTGTCGGCGGCGGCCATCAGCGCGGTCCAGCCGTCGCTGGTATGCAAGTCGACCTCCGCGCCGCGCTGCAGCAGAAGGTCCACCACCCGCTCGTGGCCTTGGCCGGCGGCGCATATCAGCGCGGTGCCGATCTCCGCGCCGCGCTGCAGCAGCAGCTCGACCGACGGCTCGCGGCCGTTGCCGGCGGCGATCATCAGCGCGGTGCCGCCGTCGCTGTTCTGCAGCTCGATCTCCGCGCCGCGCTGCAGCAACAGCTCGACCACCCGCTCGTGGCCGTACATGGCGGCGAGCATCAGCACAGTGACGCCACTCATCTCGCCCTCCTCGCAAGTCGCGTTGATCCGCCCGCCGCAATCAAGCAACGCCAGCACCGCCGCCTCGTCGCCTCGCCCAGCCCCTAACGCCTCTACGACGCGCGCTAGCGCCTTCTCTTGCACCTCCGGCGGCGAACCGTCCTTCAATGCGGCGAGCATCATGAGAGAGTCACGCCAAAAAGGAGGGCTACACGAGGCCCTGTAGGATTCCTTCCCGGTCCTCACTGGCTTGCCGGGGTCATGGGCCCCCCCTCTACAGTGGGTTGCGGGCATTAAGAAAATGGAGCTCGGCTAGGGTTGCGCAGCTATGAACAGGAGCGAGTTCGCGCTGCGCTAGGCTCAGACGGCGAGTTCGCGCTGCGCTAGGCTCAGTACGGCGAGTTCGCGCTCTGCACCGCTATAGGTATAGCGGCTAGGCTCTCTTTTATGGAGAATTTATCTCTCTCGGCTGCGTTGGCTCGCCAAAGTCTTTCTTCTCGATGGCGCTGGGTCCGCTCACTGGGGCGGGCGTGGGTGTGCGTGTTTTGTAGAGAAGCAAAAACGCACGTCGTCCGGGTTCTGTCGTGTGTCGAGCGTGCGGGCGGGGAGGGCCCCGAGGGGCGAGGGCGAGGCGCTGAGAGCCTGTGGCGAGAGCTAAGATAGAGCAGTGGCCAGTGCGAGAGTTACACACGACACACACGACACGACAGGGACACAGACACAGACACAGACACAGACGCAGACACACACTGCGCTCCCCTCAGCTCCCGCGAGAGGTAGGGAGACGCGAGCCCGACGGAGTCCGGTGGTGGGGGCCCACGCAGCCAGCCCCTGCGTTGCAAAGGTTGGTGCTGAGCCGCCGCCGCCGCTCGCTCTCGAAAAGCGTCGCGCTGCTGCCCGTTCCCGGAGCGACGACCGCGAGTTTGGTGGCCAGGGCCTCGCCTGAAAGGGGGGGGGGGGGGGAGAAGTGAGGACAAACCGAGCGGGTGGGGTTGCCGGGAAGGTGGTGGGCTACGAGCGAGTAGCGGGAAGACCGTCGATACTCCGGCGGAAGAGTGCTCCCCCGCCGCCCCCTGGGTCACCCCGAGTGACCTCGCAGCCCACGCCGTGAGGCGCTGCTGTCAGGGGAATGTTGGGGGCGCGCAAAGCCGCTCGGAAGAGACGGCCAGGAGCCAAGGAGCGGCCGGAGCGCGGCGAAAGACCGAGGGGAAGTGGCCGCCGCATACAGCCTCCGGCGGGCCTCCGGCGGACGCCTGCGGCGTGGCGCTGCGCGCGACCGGCCCCTTCTCGGTGCGCTGCAGGACGATCTCGCTCAAACGTGCGCCTGCTGGGGCGGGGCGGTCACGAGACCGGCTGAAATTGCGGCCGCAGCTGCTTGGGGGGGTGAGGATGGCCGGGCTTGAACGGCTTCTCGCGAGGTGCCCGCATCCCGACGCAGCAGCGATTTCGCCACCTCGGTCTTTCGCGGCCTTCGCCGAGCGCAGGCGCTGGGTGGGACGGGAGGGAAATTTCTTTTCTTCGCGCCCCCGCGCGCCGAGCCAAAGGAGCTCCGCGGAGCCGCCAGGCGCCCACCCCGGCGGTTCGCTCGCTACGCGTCGCTCACCGCCGGGGCGGGCGCCTGGCGGCGCCGCTGCGCAAAAACAGGATTCCGCGGCACGCCGCCGTTTCTAAGCCTTTCCACAGCCCTCATCCACCCCGCGCCGTGGTTTCTTAGCTCCGGCCGGCACTCAAGCCAGCAGAGCCGGCGGGCCCGAAGGATTTTTAGGTAAGTAAGAGGTCAGCTGTAAGCTGCCGGTCCGCGAGGGCGATGCCAGAGTCTGCCGCTGAGTCGGCTCTCTGGATGACGGGGGAAGACGCACACACGCCTCCATCCACTCCACTCAGAACACCGCAGACTTGGAAAGTGACAAGTGCGCGCGCCGCAGGCGAAGAGGAATTTTTGAGCTGGGGCTCCCGTTCACACACAGTGAATCACACACTCGTTTCTGGCCTTTTCTCGGGGCCGCGTCTGCGGCGCGCCGTGGTTTCTTAGATTTTTGCGGAAATCGCTCGGCGTGGTTTCTTAATACTACGTTTTCTTAATGCCCGCAACCCACTGTAGCGCCGCCGGAGGCGGCGTAGCTTCCGAGAAGCTCGGTCAGACACACGGGGGAGAGACGGACACCACATCATTACGAATGACGCAAAAATACGTCACGGAGAGCGTGTAGAATGGCTAATTTCGCCGAGAGCGCGCCGCGGGCGCACCTGGTAGACGGCCCCGGAATGAGTCACTGATTAAAGTTGGGCGCCTTTGGTCGAGGCTTCCCCGGTCCTCACTGGCTTGCCGGGGTCATGGGCCCCCCCCCTCTAGCGCCGCCGGAGGCGGCGTAGCTTCCGAGAAGCTCGGTCAGACACACGGGGGAGAGACGGACACCACATCATTACGAATGACGCAAAAATACGTCACGGAGAGCGTGTAGAATGGCTAATTTCGCCGAGAGCGCGCCGCGGGCGCACCTGGTATACGGCCCCGGAATGAGTCACTGATTAAAGTTGGGCGCCTTTGGTCGAGGCTTCCCCGGTCCTCACTGGCTTGCCGGGGTCATGGGCCCCCCCCCTCTAGCGCCGCCGGAGGCGGCGTAGCTTCCGAGAAGCTCGGTCAGACACACGGGGGAGAGACGGACACCACATCATTACGAATGACGCAAAAATACGTCACGGAGAGCGTGTAGAATGGCTAATTTCGCCGAGAGCGCGCCGCAGGCGCACCTGGTATACGGCCCCGGAATGAGTCACTGATTAAAGTTGGGCGCCTTTGGTCGAGGCTTCCCCGGTCCTCACTAGGGGGGCGCGGCGTGGACACCGCTGCAGAGCCTCTCACCGCTGCTGCCTCTCCGCGGCCCAGCAGCGCGCCGGCGCCAGGCACTTGGAGCACTTGGAGCACTTGGAGTGCAGTCATTAGCCTCACATCCAGGGCCGGCGCAAAGGGGGGCACGGCGTGGACACCGCTGGATTCGACCTTTTTACGGGGTAAGGTATGGTGGCTCCTGGCCAAAAGGGTGGGGGGGTATGGTCCTGGCTCGACGGGTGGGGGGGTCTAGGGGGGGTATGGTCAAACCTGGAGCCGCCGTACCGCCCACGTTACAACAGTACACGCCGCGCCTGCGCCGGCACGCAAGGCCCTGGCGGCCTTTGCGGACACGCTCTGAGGGGTGAGCACGATTGCCGGCGGGTCACCTCGCGCAGACTGCAACGCGCGAACCCGTGCCGCACGACCGGACGGACGGCCTAACACGACGGTTACTGTACGCGCTCGTGTGGTGTGGTGGGGGGTGGGGGGGTATGGTCCTGCTGGCCAGAGGCGACGTCCTGTGCGGGTGGGGGGGTATGGTCGCGGCGCCAGGGCCGGGCGCACCATACCCTACCCCCTAAATATCCTCGAATCCTGCAGAGCCTCTCCGGCCCGGCACGGCCCAGCAGCGCGCGGCGCCAGGCTCTAACTATTTAGGCGGCCTGCTCAGAACGAGTCAACCGACACATGAGCGCCCCGACGAAGAAGCGCCGCGTCGAGCTCGTGCAGGTGGCACCCGCCGGCGGCGAGGCCTCTCTACAGCTCTCTAGCTTTGCACCGACTCTCTCACTCGCCGACGGCGTCACCGTCACGCTAAGCTCCACACCGCCCGCAAAGACGGAGACCGTGGCAAACGCAGAGTCTCTCGCCGCGGTGCTCAAGCGCCGAGCCGAGGTTGCGCGGCAGACCCACGACCGGTGGGTCCGTTCGCCGCGGGCAGCGTGGATCCAGTCGCTGCTGGCAGAGCTCGGCCCTCCGGCGAGGGAGGAGCTGCTCGCGCTGCAGCGGCGGCACACGACACTCGCGGCGGAGGACTTTGCGACGCGGTGGGAGCTCGGCGCCGAGTGGTCGGGGCGGGTCGTTGCGCTCTGGCTCGGCGCGGAGGGGCGGAGCGTCGAGGAGGTGATTGCAAAGGCGGCCGGAGCTTGGCGCTCCCGACACACTCGCGACCCTCTTCTGAGACGAGCCACGGCTAGTTGCAAAGGCGGCCGAGTTTGGGCACGAGAAGGAGGAGCTCTCCTCGGGCGTCGTGCTCGAGGGCGGGCTGCTGCACTCGCTCGCCACCGGGGCAGACGTCGGCGTCGAGGAGCTGCTGCCGTGGGTCAAAGCACTCACCGCCGCCGCCGCCGGCTCGGCCGGCGGAGCGGCCACCGAGGCTCCGCCCTCCCTTCCTCTTTTTGCCACGTCCGCCCACCTATCCCTTCCGGTTCCATCCCCCCCCCCCCCCCCCTCCTCTCTCCGCCGCCTCCGCCCTCCTTTCCAGGGCACGTCCACGACACGCCCCGCCCGCCGTGTCCCGCAGGCGCCGACCGCCTCCCTCTACCGCGTCGACCCGTCCAACCACTTCCTGACCGCCGCAGACACGAGCGCCCCGCTCGACTCGCTCGGCGACGAGGCGCGGGCAGCGGAACAGCGAGATGATCTGGTGACGAGGCACCTGCTTGACTCAATGCCCTATCTCTCTCTCTCTCTCTCTCTGCCATGGCGAGGTGCGGCTGCGGATCGCGAGCGGGCGAGGCGTCGGGTCCCTGAACACCACCTTCGACTTTGCGAGCGGCGAGAGCGGCTCCGGCATGCCGCTGCCGAAGCGGGCGGTGGGAGACCGCCCGAGCTCACCCGAGATCGTGCGAGGTCGCGCGAGGCTAGGCGTTCCGCTGCTGGACGGCTACTGGGAGAGGCTCGACGACGCGAGCTACGTGGTGGGGGAGGGGGTGGCGCGGCTGAACCCGCGCCTCTACCTCATCTGGAAGACGGCCGGCTACTGCACGCCCTACCACCAAGACGTGCACGTGCCGCCGCACTTCACGCTGTACAACCAGACGAGCGGCGCGTGCCCTGCCCCTCCCGCCTCCGCTCCCCGGACACTTCTTAGACACTTCCTAGACACTTCGTGAGCAGGCGCCTCCGCCTTCCACTTCCTCCCGCTGCTGCTCGGCGAGTGCGCGACTCCTCCCCTCGCGGCGACACCTCCTCGGACCCCCTCCCTCAGCCTCCTGCGGACCCCTTCCTGGCAGGTACGCCACTCTCGTCGGGCGGCGGGACGGCCCTAGCCGGCTGAAGGAGCTGCTGCAGCGCCTCGACAGGGAGGGCGTCGGAGAGGTGCAGCAACGGCCCGCCCCCCCTCCTCCCCTCCGACCCCTCCTCCGCACCTCTTTGACCCCCCCCCCCCGCCCCCCCCTTCCTTCAGGTCGCCACCCTCGGGCCCAAGCAGATGCTCCTCATCCTCCCGGGAGGGGCGCACGGCGTCTACGTGCCTCGGCCGGCGCTGCAGCTGCCTCCGCCCGCCCGCCCGCTGCCGCCCTTCCGCCTCTCCGTCATCCGCGCTGCGGAGCTCTTCGTGGCCCCGGTGTGCGACTCGCGAGATCTGGGGGAGATATGGCGAGATGTGGCGAGATATGGCCCCGGTGTGCGACTCGCGAGATCTGGGGGAGATATGGCGAGATGTGGCGAGATATGGCCCCGGTGTGCGACTCGCGAGATCTGGGGGAGATATGGCGAGATGTGGCGAGATATGGCCCCGGTGTGCGACTCGCGAGATATGGGGGAGATATGGCGAGATGTGGCGAGATATGGCCCCGGTGTGCGACTTGCGAGCGGCTCCTGATACAATGGTCAATGCAAACACAGTGGATGGCCCTCGCCTTTCGTGACAGGTGTGCGACCTGTACGAGCGGCTCCTCCTCTCCGCAGCCGACTGGGCCACGCCTCTCGGACTGAGCGAGCGCGAGGCGCAGGCGGAGGCGGCGACGCTCGACGCCTTTGCGGCCGTGCAGCAGCGCGCCTGCGCTGAGCTCGGCCTGTCGCGCAGCGACTGGACCTTCTTCGCGACGCTGCTGCAGCGGCGGTGGGATGCCGCCGCGGAGGCGGCCGGGCTGGAGGGGGCCAACAGAGAGACGACAATCCCTCTGTAAGTAGTACAAAACAGGTCCAACAGAGTCACAAATTGCCCGGTGGACGGCGGCTGATCACACGACTTGGCGTCTCTCTCTGGCTCCGGCTCAGGTCGTGCTCGTGCGTCGTGGCACGTGGGGGGGCGGCGGGCGGGGCATATTGCTCATGTGTAAACGGGGTCTCTGGGGCGGGAGCCCCCTAGCGGCCCGCCGCGGGCGCTAGCGCGTTCCACACAGTGCGATCACTCCAGACTCACCCTCCTCGCCCTCCCTCCGGCGCCGCAACCGACGCCGACCGCGCAGCGGTGCCGCCCGTCGGCGACTTGCGCGGCGGCCGGCGATCCGTCGAGCAGGAGCCGGCGCGGCGCGCTGCCGTCGCGCACGCACACGGTGGCGGTCGTGCCGCACGGTGGCGCTACGCGCGTCTCGTTCGGTGTGGCGTGCACGTCGATGAAGCCGTGCAGCGTGGGCACGCGCAGGATATATGTGTTCCCTCGGTAATGTGCTACGGGTATGGGCCGCCGGTTCCACGCCACCGGTCCACGAACATCTACTCTGCTGAGAACGGCCGGTGGCACCTCGAGATGGTCGAGTGGCCTCCGCGCTCCGGTTCGAATTCGGCGAGTTGACCCTTATATTTTTTTCACACCTAGCGGGCTCAATTTTGCTCTGATGCCTCCTACGTATTCGAACTCAAATTCTCGGGCAGGCGCCCGGTGCGTTGGTCGTTTTTCGTCACGGGAGCGGGAGCCGAATCAAAGAATTTTGGCTTTCTTGTGTGTGCTGGTCGTAGCCCGAAACACCGCTTGAGCACTTGAGCACTTGCGACTTGGAGTCGGCAGTCGGTAACCCGCAGGGCCTCACACCCACAGGGCCGGGGAGCTAAGAACTGTGATTCTGTGTGAGCTCCGGTGTCCTGATCTGCTAACAACATACCAACCTGTTTTTTTGCACTAACCGTGCCGATCGGCGGATCGGTGCACGGTGGCCCTCTAGCGCTTCTTACTCGAGTGTCGAGTCAGGTATAAAAGGCTACCAGGCTAGCATGTGTAGCAAGACCAAGTAAAGTGCTCCAAGCACTCGTAACCTGCCCGATGCTTTTTGCATTTTGGCATGTGGTTAGGCTCCTGCGGGCGGCGCTGCACGTGCCAGCCGAGATCGGTTTCAGATCAAGAACACTCACTCACGCCCGACTCACCCTGACAACCCGCCCCGCCGGCGGCCCAGCCTGGTGGCGAGCGGCCAAGGCGCGCTGGCGGTAGAGCGCACGCTGGCGGGGGTCTGTCGGCTCCAGCTGGCCGACCGCAGCCTCGAGCTCGGCGACCTGTTCACAGGCAGAGTACGTGGTACGCCGGCTCACAGTGCTGCGCGCCCTCGCCCCCTCGAGCTCGGGCGACCGCCGCGCGCGAGCATCGGAGGACGCCCTCCTGCGCGCAGGCGGATAATCTCGGGGGAAATCTCGGGGGAAATCTCGGGGGATCTCGGATGATCTCGCTCCTGCGCACAGGCTGCTGAGCCAGATCTCGGCTAGATCTCGGCTAATCTCGGCTTCGCCTGCGCCGAGAGGATGGCCTGCGCCTGCACATGCACGCGCGAAAGTAAGTTAGCTGGGTACAAGGGCTATACGCATGCAGCAGCACTGCTGCAACTACGAGACTACCGAGAGTACACAGGCCGGACTCACGCCGCATCTGGGCCTCGAGATACAGGGAGATATGGGGAGATGTTCCACATCTAGGCACCTTCAGCCTTTGCTATCCTCGCTTCCACCGCCTTCACCTCCTCAACTATTTTAGTTGCTCCTACTTGCTGACGCGCTGCTTGCTGCCGCGCTGCGGCGGAGCGAAGACGGCGCAGATGCTGCGAGCGCTCGTGCACCTCACTCCGCTGCGACTCGACGCGCCTCTCCGCCGAGACAACGTCGGCGCGAGCAGAGTACAGCGCGGCGCGCTGCCGCTCGCAGAGCGCAAAGCGGAAGACGTGCACCCAGCGCGTCGCGTGTGCGTAGCGGCCGACCACCTCTCTCCCCGAGGCGCTCGTGAAGCGAGCCTCAGCCAGCGGCCGCCACAGGCGGTCGGAGCTCGCGAGGCGGCGCAGCCGGCGGCTGAGCCGGGCGACGGCGAGCAGTTCCGTCTCGCAGCAGCTAGTGAGAATTTTTGCGACGAGCTCCTCGGGGAGGTCGTCGAAGCCCATTCCGGCCAGTGCGGGGGCTGTGGGCCCGAGAGATGGGCCGAGCGTTTTTGATCTCTCGATGGCTGTTGCGAAAGGGCGACAGGGGAGGAACGTTGATGGCGCCAGCGCCTGCTGTTGACAAGTGGGCTCGCACCTCAACCTCTCACAGGCGGGGGGGCCCCCGCCAGCGCACAGCGCCATAGGAGGTATTTTCTTCTCAATAACAAGGCTGTGAACCCCCCATCCCCAGGGCCTCCAGGGCTCGCACCTCAACCTCTCACAGGCCAGCGCACAGCGCCATAGGAGGTATTTTCTTCTCAATAACAAGGCTGTGAATGGGGGAGTTCGGTATTCACAGTCGTTTACACTGAGGGAGCAATGGCTATTTATTCGGGTTGCTTTGCCGTCATCATTCCTATCCTGATTTAAAAGGTTCTAATCTAAATGGAACAGTAAGGAATCGGCGCGGCACAACTAGAGCTGACCGGGTTGCCTCGTGCTCAATACGTAAACGCCTTCCAGTTGTTGTTTGAGGTGTAGGAGCTGCTGCCATCTTGCGAGACGCGGCATGTGTCGTCCTGGGTGTGGTACGAGCAGCAAAATTCGTGGTGGTAGCTACTGTTGGTGGCGTGTTCGACACACGCGTTTCGGCAGTTACCGGCGGTGTTTTTGTTGCTCAGCCCGACGGAGACGTCCTGGCACTTAGGGGGGCAGTCTGGCCGCGAGACCGTGGTAGCGTGGTTTTACCTCACACCCATGGTCTCACAGTGTGCCGGCAGTCGCCGAGCAGTGTCGCTCACACAAGCCGCAGCACAAGTGACTGAGGGCCAGTGAGGGCGAGCCCATCGCTGTCACAGCTGTGGCAGCCGCACAGTAGGCTGTGTCAGCTGTGCAGAGTGTGTGAGCAGCAGAGGAGCTGCTCTCCAGGCTTCTGTCGCAAAGAGCTGCATGCCACCGAAAGCGCTGTCGAGGTTCGCCGAGCGCGGCGCAGGTTGAGGGAAGCCGCCACCGACGAGCGCACTTGGAGCACTTGGAGTGCAGTCATTAACCGCACATCGAGCGCGTTGTTCTTTTCACTCGGACAAAAAACGGGGCACAGCGGACGGTGCGGGGCGTGCCGCAAACATAGCGGCGAGGCGCGGGACCGTCTGTGGCGAAGTGGGTCGCGTCCCCCGATTTTGTTCAACCCAGCATCCACACCCTTTAGCCGCATGACATCGGCGGCGAGCCGTCGCACTTTTGAGCAGTCAACCCCCGACTGCGAGCAGCGCGAGCGCCGTGCCCAGCACACCTCGCCGAGGGTGTCGCGCTTTTCTCACTGACAGGTTGAGAACTATACACCCTCTCGCACAAATTTCCCTTCAAGTCCTGCTGCAGGGCCTCTCCGACCCAACCGGGGTACCCGGGCTTTAGTCGACATGAGCCACGGACGGCGCTTGGTGCTGCCCCCCCCACACCCGCACCCAAGCAGTACTCATCACAGCGAGCGGCCTCGGGCAGCCGCCGCACCCCGCGGCGGGCTCCTTCTGAGAACAAGGTATCTCCGCCGAGAATTTGCGAGCGCCTTCCGAGCGACTCGCCCGCAGACTCTCTCACCCGAGGACGGCTCCGCCTGCGGCAGGACAGCTCAAGCAGCCGCGACGGCGGGCGGCGAGAAGGCCTGCTTGGCGAGCTGCTCCTTGGTGCCCCACTTGGAGCTCGCGGCCGAGCCGACCACCTGAGGCAGCGAGGGTGGCGAGAGGGGGGGGGGGGGGGGGCCTCCAACCTCGGGAAAACTTTTCCGGTTTGGCGGGGGAGGAGGGGGTTGGAGGGGTGTCGGTGTTGAAAACAGTTGGGGCGGGGGCGGGGGCCGGGACCGGAGGGGAGGGGAGGAAGGGGAGGGGGGGGGAGGGCAGGGGAGGGCAGGGGGCAGGGGGGGGGGAGAGGGGAGGGGCAGGGGGGGGGGGGGAGGTGGCGCCGCTCGCCTGCTCTCCGGAGGCGGTCTGCACTTCGCCGTCGAACAGGATCTTGTCGTCGTCCCAGACGTCGTGACCCTTGGCCGACCCGTCGTCGCACCGCTTGGGGCACGTCGGCGAGTGCTCCGACGGGCAGCCCGGCGCCCCCTCGGCGGGGTACGGGTCGTCGCCTGTGGACATGCCTCGGACATGTCATGGACGTGTCCTCGACACGGCGCCCCCTCGGCGGGGTGCGGGTCGCCCTGCGGGCCATGGTGGTGGCAGTGCGGCAGCGAGTAGTCGGCGCAGAGGCCCTGGCCTGTGGACACACGTGTCGCCGACATGTCATGGGCGTGTCCCGGACATGAGTAGCCGGCGAGTTGGTATGTCGAGGATCGCGCCAGGGCCAGGGCGAGGGTGCTGCGGAGTTTGGGGCTTGCAGCCTCCGGGCTAGTGAACATGTCTCGGACATGTCATGGACGTGTCCTCGCGGGCTAGTGGGACGTCTTCGCGTGCCTGGCAGGAAGACAGGGACCTCCGCATCTAGAGCCCTCTGCCAAAGGGCCCGCTGTGCCACCAACCCACTCTCGGGTAATCTCAGGTATCTCGGTAATCATCTAGAGCCCCCTTGCCAAAGGGCCCGCTGCCCTTGAACTGGCCGCCCGTCACCGCGCCCGTCCGCTTGATGTACTCCCACGGGGTGGTGATCTGGCCGCCGTCGCACCCGCGCGAGAAGAGCCCCCCGCCGCAGAAGCAGACGTCCTGCCGCGCGAGTTGGGCGGAGGCGTCAGAGGCGGGGTCATTAGGCACGGCAGGCGTCAGAGGCGGGGTCATCAGGCACGGCAGGTACGGCAGGCATATAAATGTATATACGGCGCCGCGTTGGCGTGGCAGGGCGGCGGTCTCGCTCTCTTCGAGCTTCGGCCTGCGCTGAGAGCGGGACTACCATCTTGCCGCCGGTGGCGATGCACATGCGGTCGGATGCGGCTTCGGCGCCGGCAAACGCCCAGCAGCAGCCACAGTTGGACTGGTCGCGGATGTCGCCGATGACCTTTGCGCACTCTTTCCAGTGCTCCTCCGAGTCGAAGCTCTCCGGTAGCGCCAGGGTAGCGTCGGCGGGGACGTAGTGGGCAACGTCGCCGCGGACCACGGCCGCGCGTATGTCGGCCGCCCAGTCTCCGAGCACGCCGTTGGAGGAGCGGGACGCGCCCGGGGGCTGGAACGCGAAGCGAGCGTTGGCCGCCGCGCGCCATGTCAAGCTGGAGTTGGCATTGATCGCCGCAATCTGGGCGGCGCGGGCCGGGTGGATAGCGGGCGTGGTGAGGCCACTGACGAGCTCGAGAAAGGAAAGCATGAACCACGAATTCCCGTCCAAGTCGCGGTGTGAGCGCCTTTTACAGATGTAAAAAAAAATCAAAGACTATTTTGCCCGCAACCCGATCCCGAGCGAAGCGAGCGTCCGGCCAACTGGGTGCGCTTCTCAGCTCCCCGGTCCTGGGCGTGAGGCTAATAATGACTGCACTCCAAGTGCTCCAAGTTGTATTATTATTAACAACGAAGGCGCTCTCAAAAAGAAATAAGTTTTTTGTAAGGGTTGCCCGGCCGGGTTGCTGCGCAAATCTCTCGCGCTGCGCTAGGCTCAGAGCGAGTTCGCGCTGCGCTAGGCTCAGACGGCGTGCGTGGGCCGCCGGGGTGAGGACCCCACCGGCACCGCTCCTTGGCGGTTCGCGCATCGCCTTCGGGAGGTCAGGCTCGGCAAGCAAGCTTGTCGGTCGGGCTCTACCTCAGCCCTCAGCCGAAGCTGGGGCCGGTCCCGTAGGCCGTCCGTAGCCGAGAGAGCCCCCGCGTCCCGGGATGAGAATTCCGACGGGCGCGGGGATATCGGGGCCGGTCCGAAGCCGACTCTGGGGGGAGGCGGGGGCCCAGAGGGTGTCCATGCGGGGGGGATATGGGGTCCCACGGCCCGCCGCAGGCGCCGTTTTTGTCGCGTTTTTTTTGCCATTTTTTACTTGTTTTCCCCCAAATCCGCGTTTTCCGGATTCCGGAGCTGTCAGCTGAGCTCCGGAATCCGGAATTTTCCTACATTCGCTGTGAACCCAGCCACGTACTGGCTAGACCTATACTGAGGGAGGGTGTAGAGGATGTAGAGTGTAGAGCGCTGTAGAGCTGTACAGCTCTACATCCGCCGCGGGACGAAGCGCCTGCGTTGTAGAGCGATGTAGAGCGCGGTTTTGCTGTAGAGTTTGTTGTAGTCTTGTAGAGGCTCTACAGCCAAACCGCCGGGAAGGCAGTGACTCAAAGAGGTCGAGCCGCGCTAATGGGGTGTCTCCGAGCTTACTGGAGCTCTGATGGACAGCCCTGACTATCCCTGACACACAGAGAGTCACTCCGACGGCACACAACACCTATAACTGCGTCATGACCAGCCTGCCATGTGTCGCCGGTGCCGCATTCGTCGCTGTGCTTCTTTAGCAGGCGGTGGACTGTCGGCTGCGAGGACGGTCGCATTTGCGCGAGGCGAGGCGAGCATTCAGACGCGTTGCATGCGCCATGCCTCGCGCCAGCGCGTGCGGGAGCTCCTGGCTGAGCGTTGAGTCCAGGCGAGTTGCGCTGGCCACTATCACTACTGTACGCCGAGCCGAGCTGACGCGCCGAGGCGCCGGCCAGTCGCAGCCGTGAGGCATGCCATAGCAGCAGAGGCACCTGCCACCCATTGGGCGGGAAGACAGAAGGCCAGGGCCGCACTGGCAAGTGCAACGCGCCTCATGTCGGAGAGCGACCGTGCCTCGTTCGCCGCTTATGATGTAGAGTTTGTTGTTGTGTATGATAGTAGTGTGGCAGTTTGGTCGGAGGGCGCCCGGGTCGCCCCGGAGCGGCCCCGCGCGGGGAGGTGGGTGGAGGGCGGGCACCACGCCATCGGGCAGGCCACGGGGACGCAGCCGGGGCCAGCGCGCGGCGCTAGAGGGCCGGGCGCAAACTTGTGGCACCTGCACCGGCACCGGCACCTGGGCGTAGAGCTGTCAAACGTTAAGAGCTGAACAGTGTTGCTAGTGTTAACAGTAACAACAGAACAACAGTGGGGCTCCCCAACAACAGTAGCTAACGTTAGGCCAGCTGAACAACAATAAGGAAGGCCTGGCAGTGACCCACGACGATCTCCAGCGTCCAGTGCGGGTAATACCCGAAAATACCTGGAAAAACCCAGGTATTTTCGGGTTTTACCCGGGTTTTTTGGCATTTTCTGCTTGCTGACTACTGAACAACAGTAACAACAGTAACAAACAGTAACAGCTTGGGCTGGGGAGAACACTTGAACAACGTTGAGGATTTTCAGCCAACAATAGTGCAACTGTTAGGCCCAAAGTTAACGTTTGACAGCTCTACCTGGGCGCCGCGAGTTTTGGTGGTTCGAAAAGCGGAGCGCGCAGTCCATTGTGGCTCGAAACGCGATGCCTTCGCCGGGAGACACGGATGTCGCCGTCAGGAGCGACGAGGCTGGCGAGAGCGAGGCGGTCGAGCGTGATCAGTCGCACTCGAATCTGAGCAGTACATTGAGGCCGTTGGTGGAGAGAGAGCGTAGCGAGCGAGGTGACGAGAGGAGATGGAGCTGTGGGTGTAGTCGGTGGAGGCTTGGTTGCGTCGTCCACGACGAGGCGTCGGAGAATGACGAGAAGCGTGACGGTGATTCTCGGGCCGAGGCCGATGTCTCATAGGGAGGAGGTGACTTTGCGCCTTCGCAACGCGGTTCAACTGTGGACGAAGATGTACACGGAGATGGGATGGTGCGACGACATGCGGGACAAGCTAGAATCGTGCATGCTTCTACATGCTACATGTTCGCACCGCGAGGTTGAACCGAGGTTTATACGGGTGTGGCTCCAGGGTCCGGTGCTCCAGGATGCAGCGGCTGCGAACCGGCGCAGTTGTGTCCGCAATGTGCTCACTGATGTGGCTCAGCAGGAGGATCAGGACGGCAACCACGCACACGCAGATCGACTACTGCAAGAGGCTTTGAGGGAGCTTACACACGTCACAAATGGTTCGCCCTTGACGGCGTCGAGCGTGTGTGTTTGTAGATTTCACGTTGTAGAGCGCCTCTACATCGCTCTACAACGGAGGCGCTTCGTCCCGCGGCGGATGTAGAGCTCTACAGCTCTACAGCGCTCTACATCTCTACAGCTCTACAGCGCTCTACACTCTACATCCTCTACACCCTCCCTCAGGACCTGTGTATAGAGCCGTGCGTAGGGCTCTCTATCTCTTGCCCGCAACCCGTCCCCGAGCATATGGCCCGCTGGGTGCGCTTTTCTTTTTAAGCTCCCCGGCCCTGGGTGTGAGGCTGCCAACTCTACTGCACTCCAAGTGCTCCAAGTACGCGCCAACTCTCTCACAGCAGACACAGGCTCGACACATACACGACACAGCTCACAGGCGCGTGCGGACTCTGCCGACTGGCGCGCGTGCTACGGCTCTAGCACTAACACAGGCTGACCGATAAAAAAGAAAAGGAGCAGGAAAAACCCCGGAAGGGAAGTCACTCTCAAGGCTCGGTTGACTGAACGGCCTCCTCTCTCATAGTCGCGCTGCTCGGCGGGACCGCGACCGCCGCCGGCGCGGAGCCCTCGGCGGCGTACAGCACCGACTCGACGCGCACGTACTCAAAGAAGGAGAGCGATCGGTCGCCGTCGCTGTCGGCCTCGGCCATCCACTGCTCCAGCGCCGCCTCGTCGATCGGCGCCCCACTCACGCGCGAGAGCTTCTCGCGGATGGCGCCGAGACCCACCTCGCCGTCCTCGTTTGGCTCGAGGATGGCGAAGCCGTCGTACAGCGCGCACACGTCCGCGAGCGTGACGCCGCACTGCGCGGCGAGCGCCTAGCAAAGGAAAGGCGTGGACCAAGTCCAGAGCAGGGTGTGAAGACGCCGCACCGAGCAAGCGCGGCGCCTCCAGCTCCGCCCGAGCGTACGGGGGCAGTGTGCCCGCACCGCGCTCGACTCCTCTTGATCTCCCGCGGCCGGCGGAGGCGGGGGCGGGGGCGGGGCCCTGCAGACGGCGCAGCAGCGCGCGCGCTCGCCCGTCCCCTCCACTGCCGAGGAGGGAGGCGAAGCGGACGGCCGCCTCCACTGCCTCCACCACCACCTCCGTCGCGCCCGCCCGCATCAGCGGCGCCGCGTCGAGCGCCGTCCGCGCGCGCACAAAGATGGGCACGTCGGGGAAGGCGTCGCGCAGCCGCTCGGTCGACTCGAGGCAGCGCCTAAACGGAGAAGGCGCGCCTGGGTGCGAACGGGGGGGCGGGGAGAGCCGCTCGACTGACGCTCGAGGCGGCGCTTGTCGTTGGCGTACGTGACGACGATCGCGCGCGGCCGGACGATGCCCGCAGCGCGGAGCAGCTCGGGCGAGGCGCCGTCGCCGTACACAACGCGCACCTGCTTGGCCAGCCCCACGGCGATTCGAGACGGGTTGCGGTCGAACGCGATGAACTGCGTCCCCCAGCCAGCCAGGCCGCCCCCCCCCTCCTCCTCCTCCGCAAACACCGACGGCGGGAGCGGGTGCCCCGCCTCTGCGTCGGCGAGCACGTCGCACGCGCGCTGCCCCATCTCGCCGTACCCGCACACGACCACCGCGTCGGGGGCCGTCGCGAGCTCGCCGCCGCCGGCTCCGTGCGGCTCCCGCTGCGCGCCGCCCGCCGCCGCATCCTGCAACGCTGCGGAACGCTGCTCGCCGAGCACCTAGACGGAGGCACGCCGCGGCTCAAGGGGAGGAGAGGCGCGGCACGAGGAGCGCCGCCCGCCGAGGACCAAGTCGACGTAGCCTCTGCGCAGCTCGTCGCGCGAGATGACGCCGTCGCCTGTTCGCACCCATTCCCCGTGGAGAGACGCCCGCCACGGCAGCTGACCGCGCGAGAGGACGTCACCGTTGAGGTCGAGCTGCGCAAAGAGCTCGGCGAAGGAGGCGTTGCCGTCCTCTCCCCCCTCGGAGGCCCTGCCGCCCCCGCCGAGCAAGTACCGGCGGAGCTCCTCGCGCTCGATCGTGCCGTTGCCGTCCGCGTCGATCACGTCGAAGAGCTCGTCTGCCCTCGCGTCGGCCGCCTGATCTCGGGTCCTCTCGGGTCCTCTCGGGTAACCTCGTCGGACAGCTCGTCTGCCCTCGCGTCGGCCGCCTGGTTTGCGTCGATCCGCTCCACTTGATCGCCGACAAACTCCGCGAGCTCGCCGAGCAGCGGCGTGAGGGACCTGTTCCCGGCTCATCTCGGGTCATCTCGGATCGACTCCGCCAGCTCGCCGGGCAGCGGCGTGAGGGGACATGGAGATGATGACGGAGGCAGTCAGCAGCCCGCCGAGCCGCGTGGGCAGCAAGCCGAGGTCCTCCGCGAGCTTGAAGACGACAAAGGCGAACTCGCCGCCCCCCGCGAGCAGCAGCGCCACGCGGATCGCCTGACGCCAACGCGACGACCGATGGTGGCCATGTGTCTCGTACGACGAGCAGCGGCGCCGCGCGGGTCGCCTCTGCGCGCGTGAGGCCGAAGGCGAAGGCGCCTGTTCACAGCCTGGCGTGTGAAGAGACGCAATTCACAGCTTGGCGCGCGTGAGGCCGAAGGCGGAGGCGCCGAGGCCGAAGAGCAGGCCGAGCTTGGCGCCTGTTCACAGCCTGGCGTCTGAAGAGACGCATCACAGCTTGGCAAGAGCAGGCCGAGCTTGGCGCCGAGGAAGGCGAGGATGCCGGAGAGGAGTGTCGGCCACTCAGCCACGCAGAGCGCGGGGTCGAGGTTCGCGCCCGCCGTCATGAAGAAGATGCCGAGCAAGATGCCCTCGAAGGGCTTGATGTCCGCCTCGATCTGCTGCCTACTCCCGGGGCCACGCGCTCATCTCGGCTCATCTCGGGGGAAGCTCGGTGGCCGCCTCAATCCGCTGCCGGTATTGTGAACCAGCGAGCAGGACGCCGGCGGCGAAAGCGCCCGTCGTGGTGCTCAGCCCGAGCGCGTCGGCGGCGACTCCCATCCCGATGGCGACGAGCAGCGTCGCAGCGACGAACGTCTCTGACGAGCGAGCCGCGGCGACGACAGAGAAGATCTGGCGCAGCAGCACCGACCCGGCGACGAGCACGCCCCCGAAGCCAAAGGTCGCCTTTGCGACGAGGACGCCGAGCTCTGCGGAACTCTGCGGTCCCGAGCCGGCGACGAGCGGGAGGAGGACGAGCAGCGGCGCTACCGCGATATCCTGCAGCAGGAGCACGGCGAGCGCGGCGGTCCCGTCTGCGCGCTCCTCCCACCCGCGCTGCTTGAGCTCGGGCAAGACAAAGGCGGAGGAGGAGAGCGCTCCGGCGCCGGCGAGGCAGAAGGCGAGCACCGGCGTGGACAGGATGGGACGCACGAGCTCGTCATCGAGCAGGATGAACCGCTCTGCGGCAGGCAGGACCTGGGGCCCGAGATAGAGGTTCGCGGCAGTGATGGCTGCGATGGTGAGGATGAACTGCGCGAGGCCGAGCTTGAAGAAGTTTCCCAGCTTGAGCAGGCGGTCGGGAGACAGCTGCAGGCCCTCGATAAAGAGGAGGAAGACGATGCCGAGGTCGCCGAGCTGCACGTTCGCCTCCGAGTCGGAGAGGATGCCGAGGCCGAATGGACCGGCAGCGCAGCCGACGGCGAGGAATCCGAGGACGGGCGTGACGTTGAGGACGCGCGAGAGAGGCACCACGACGACAGAGGCGAGGAGAAAGAAGAAGATGTCGTTGCCGAGTGCATCGAGGCTGATCACGGCACTGGTTTCAGCGGCGGCGTCGGCGAGGAGGGCGGCAGAGGGAACCTCGAATGCACGCACGCTGCACCGCTGCCGTGCAACGAGGGAAGGCCTCAGCAGGCGTGTGGTGGCCGCTAGCGAGGGTGCCACCATTTGCCCTCGCCTAAGCGGCCAGAGTCGAGGTTTCTCCGACATGGCGCGCACATTTTTTTCTTTACTTCTCCCCTTACCCTTTCCCCCTTCCCCTCCCTCGTTCCCTTCCCGGTCGCGAACTTTCCCCCGGTCGACCAACTTTCCTCACTTTCCCCGGGGCGTCAAAAAGAGAAAGGGGAGCACGGCAGTCTCTCGCATGACAAACAAGCCCATAAAAAGAAAAGGAGGCGATTTTGTAAAAAGAAAACAGCCCTCCTCTTGCATGACATGTCAGAGTGTCCCATAACAACGGCTAGCGCATCACACCCCTCTCCTTAAAATCCCTGTGTGGTGGCGGCGTGCCGTCCTCCCATCCCTCCCTTGCCTAACCGCCGCGCGAACTTTGTGGGGGCGGTTCACGAACCAGTTCGCGAACCCAGTTCGCGAACCGGCGGTTCACCGCCGGTTCGCCAGACTCGGTTCGTTCACGGTTCACGGTTCGCGGCGGGTGTCGCGGGAGGAGTCAGTTCACGGATCACGGTTCACGGACTCGGGGTGGGGGCTAGTCGGTTCACGGTTCGGGGTTCACGGACTCGGGGCGGGGGCTAGTTGGTTCACGGTTCACGGTTCACGATTCCGGCGTGAACTGAGAGGCCTGAGCACGACGTTTGAGAGAGAGAGACGAGAAGGTTTTTATTCGCTTGCTCTTGCATCCACCGCCGTACCTGTGCGCGCACCTGTATCCGCTTGCGGCTCCCCTCCGCTTGCACGCTTGCACCACTAACCGCGAGCGCGCTGCCCTCCGCGCTCTCAGAGATGCCAACACGCTCGGCGGCGGTCTGCTCCATCTGCTACGACGGCATCCGGTGGGACGACCGCCTCGTCCTTCCGTGCAAGCACGTCTTCTGCCGCGGCTGCATCGACCACATGTGCGCGCGTGCGTGGGCCGACGGGCCAGCGCATCTCGGCCTCACGCCGATTCGGTGCGGCGCCTGCTCACAGGTTCCTGCACCACCACCGCACGGCGGACGACTACGCGTCGCAGTGTCCGATGTGCCGCGCGCCGCTCATGGGCGAGGCGGATGAGCTCTTCACACAGGGCTCATGGTGCCTTGCCGGCTTCCAGCGCCAGGTCGAGCTGCAGATGCACGGCCTCGATCTCATCTTCCCGTTCGAGATCGGGCACGCGATCACCGCGTTTGAGGACTGCATCACGGCGGTGGAGGGCCACGCCACCGGCCCGGGCGGGCTGAACCGCATGGCCGCCGCAGCGCAGTACAACATCGGCCGCTGCTACGAGCTCCGCTGGGCCGCCGCCGACGACCTGCGCAGCGACGAGGCGCAGCAGGACGCCCGCGACGCCATGCGCGCGTACGAGCTGGCGTTCGAGCGGTCGCACGAGCTCGACGGCTCGGCGGCCAACAACCTGGGCGCGATGCTGATGTGGCAGGGCAGGCCGGAGGAGGCGCAGCACTGGTTTTCGCGCGCCTGCGACCTCGACCCGGCCGACACGCTCGCGCGCGCAAACCTACGCATCGCGGCCAGGGAGAACAGAGGCCTCCGCCCGCGGACCGCCGGGGGCAGGGTGGTCAGGTGAGAGTGGACTCTACTCATCGCAAATCGTCCGTATGGATACGCCGTATGTGCGCGCTCTTGCAAATGCAAAGGGCTCGTCGTGTGAGGCGCAGCCGGAGCCGCAGCCTGCGCAGGCGGTGATGGTAATTTTTTCATCTAGGACACATAGGTTAAAAATAGTAATAGAACCGACAAAAAAGCTAAAAAGTCCTGAAATAGTCGCGTTCTACGCCGCCCGCGTCGGCTTTACCACGGGCTTTGAACCGAACCGCGCCCCGGGGCTCTTCAGTACAGCGGCGCGTCGCCGTCAATGACTGAGCGCCATTTATCCGCCTCGCTCGCGTACGTCTGGAGGACGGTGGACTCGAAGCAGGAGTTGTAGCAGCAGTCGCAGATCAGCCCGCCCAGCCGCGTCGTGATCATGTGCACGAGCCGGATCCTGCCGTCGGCCAGCCTCTCGATCCGGTCGATCGACGGGAACATGTTCTTCGCCCGCACCCGGCAGCAGCTTGTGGGCTTGCCGTACCCCTCGCGGCGCGACACCGACGGGTACACGTACGCCTTCTTGCCGCCAATCTCCTTCACGTGGAAGAGGTAGAGCAGGTCGCGTGGCCACAGCGGGCACGCGGAGAACCTCCACGACACCGTCTTGACGTCGGCGGCCGGGGCGCCGACGACGTCGGCCGACTGGAACGTCCCGTCCCAGAGCGGCGCGTTGCGGATGACCGACTCGAATGGCGGACCGAGGAGCGCGACCACGCGATCCAGCTTTGACGCCTCAAAGTCCTGTATCCACAGCACCGACCGGATGCCAGTCGCGTACGGCCCCTCGACGAAGCCAGTCTTGACGGCAGCGCCCGTCGCAGAGGTGAGCGCCGTCGGCCAGCTCTCCGCCGCAGTCGCGGCTGCGTCGCAGGCGAGAGCCCAGGCGTCGAGGTCCGGCGGTCCGCCGGCCGTGCCGTCGAGCGGGAGTGAGGTGGCACCACTGGGCGAGGACGAGGCAGCTGCCATCGCTTCACGCTTCTTCGCGAGGTAGGCTTGGCTCGGAGGGTCCGTCGTGGGCTTGCTCATCGACACTGACGCTGGACGCTGCTTGCGGCACTACGCCCAACGCTGGGGTGCGGCGCTGGCGTCGAACCGCCTGGTTCCGCGGCTCCTACAGTGGGTTGCGGGCATTAAGAAAACAGAATCCCGCGGCACGCCGCCGTTTCTAAGCCTTTCCACAGCCCTCATCCACCCCACGCCGTGGTTTCTTAGCTCCGGGCGGGGCACTCAATCAAGCCAGAGCGCCGGCCCGAAGGATTTTTAGGTAAGAAGAGTGTTAAAGCTCGGTCCGCGAGGGCGATGCCAAGAGTCTGCCGCCGAGTCGGCTCTCTGGATGAGGGGAAGACGCACACACGCCTCCATCCACTGACCACTCCACTCAGAACACCGCAGACTTGAAAAGTGACAAGTGCGCTGCCGCAGGCCCAGGCGAAGAGAAATTTTGAGCTGCAGCTGGGGCTCCGGACCCGTTCACACTCGTGTCTGGCCTTTTCTCGGGGCCGCGCCTGCGGCGCCCCGTGGTTTCTTAGATTTTTGCGGAAATCGCTTGGTAGGGTTTCTTAATGCGACGTTTTCTTAATGCCCGCAACCCACTGTACCCGGGACCCAGATGGGGGGTCTGTTCCCACTGACTCGCGCCAAAACGCCCTACCTACCTACCTATCCCCAGGCCGCGCAGCGAAGCGAAAAAAGATGAAAATAGCGCGTACCTACCTATTGCAGACGGCAGGGTTTATGGGCGAAACAAGACCAACCAACCCAACCTGGGAGGGGCCAGCCAGTGGCGGCAGACCCCCTATCCGGGTTGGAGCCGGAACCCGGGGCGACTCCGAAAAAGAAATACAACGCGACATATGGGAGAGGTAGAGTCCTAGTCCTTCCAATTTTTCGATTTACGGCTTTATTTATTTATTATGGGGCGGAGGTAGACGGCTGAGGGCAAACCTGGGAGACGGCTAGAACACGCTCCTTTCCTAAAATCTCTGTGTGCGGCCTCGCGTGAGTGTTTTCTTTCTTTCTTTAGTCGAATGGTTGTGTTTCGCGTCATGGTTTCGTACCCCGCAAGGCGCGCGATACTCGAGTACACCTCGTATCAAATTCCTGGCTACTCGATCACTCAAATCCTTACCGCCAGCACCGCCAACAACGCCTCGCTCGCTGCCGCTGGTCGACTATCCGCCTCCATCCTCTTCGCCCTCGCCGCCGCCGGCCCCGCCGCCGTCCGCCTCGCCCTCACCTCCGCCCTCGCCGCCTCCGCCCTCGCCGCTGCCATCCCTCCCATCGCCGCTGCCAACGCCACCGCCAGCACCGCCAACAACGCCTCGCTCGCTGCCGCTGGTCGACTATCCGCCTCCATCCTCTTCGCCCTCGCCGCCGCCGGCCCCGCCGCCGTCCGCCTCGCCCTCACCTCCGCCCTCGCCGCCTCCGCCCTCGCCGCTGCCATCCCTCCCATCGCCGCTGCCAACGCCACCGCCAGCACCGCCAACAACGCCTCGCTCGCTGCCGCTGGTCGACTATCCGCCTCCATCCTCTTCGCCCTCGCCGCCGCCGGCCCCGCCGCCGTCCGCCTCGCCCTCACCTCCGCCCTCGCCGCCTCCGCCCTCGCCGCTGCCATCCCTCCCATCGCCGCTGCCAACGCCACCGCCAGCACCGCCAACAACGCCTCGCTCGCTGCCGCTGGTCGACTATCCGCCTCCATCCTCTTCGCCCTCGCCGCCGCCGGCCCCGCCGCCGTCCGCCTCGCCCTCACCTCCGCCCTCGCCGCCTCCACCCTCGCCGCTGCCATCCCTCCCATCGCCGCTGCCAACGCCACCGCCAGCACCGCCAACAACGCCTCGCTCGCTGCCGCTGGTCGACTATCCGCCTCCATCCTCTTCGCCCTCGCCGCCGCCGGCCCCGCCGCCGTCCGCCTCGCCCTCACCTCCGCCCTCGCCGCCTCCGCCCTCGCCGCTGCCATCCCTCCCATCGCCGCTGCCAACGCCACCGCCAGCACCGCCAACAACGCCTCGCTCGCTGCCGCTGGTCGACTATCCGCCTCCATCCTCTTCGCCCTCGCCGCCGCCGGCCCCGCCGCCGTCCGCCTCGCCCTCACCTCCGCCCTCGCCGCTGCCGCCCTCGCCAGGCCCCTCGCCGCCGCCGCCAGACGCGCCGCACCCCCACCCGCCGACCCCGCCGCCGTCGCCAGCCCCGCCGCCGCCGGACGCGCCCCTCGCTATCGCCGCCCTTCCCGCCCAGTTTAGCGCCTTCTCTGCCGCCGCCGCTGCCGACCCCACCACCGGCTCCGCCACCGCTGCCTCCCTACCCGCCCGGCATGGCGCCCTCGCCGTCGCCGCCGACGCCTCCGCTGCCCTCCCCGCCGCCGCCGCTGCCGACCCCACCACCGGCTCCGCCACCGCTGCCTCCCTACCCGCCCGGCATGGCGCCCTCGCCGTCGCCGCCGACGCCTCCGCTGCCCTCCCCGCCGCCGCCTCTGCCGACCCCACCACCGGCTCCGCCACCGCTGCCTCCCTTCCCGCCCGGCATGGCGCCCTCGCCGTCGCCGCCGACGCCGCCGCTGCCGTCTCTCCCAACGCCTCGGCCAACACCACCACCATCACCGCCAACAACACCTCGCTCGCTGCCGCTGATCGACTATCCGCCTCCGTCCGTTTCTCCCTCGCCGCCGCCGCCAGACGCGCCCCACCCCCACCCGCCGATCCCGCCGCCGTCGCCAGCCCCGCCGCCGCCGGACGCGCCCCACCCCCACCCGCCCACGCCGCCCTTGCCTTCAGTGCCTCAGCTTCCGCCTCTCGAGCGTTCACCACCCCTGCCGCCTGGCATGGCGCCGCCACCCTCTCCTCCTTCGTCACCCTCCTCAGCTCCATCGCCGCCGCCGCTGCCGCCATTCCCTCCCGACGGTGCGCCTTCGCCCTCACCGCTGCCTCCGCCACTAACGCCTCGCTCGCTGCCGCTGATTGCCTCCCCTCCACCGCCCTCGCTCCCGATCGAACTCGTTCCTCCATATCCGCCCGGCGGTGCGCCATCACCACCGTCATCAGTTCCTCCGGCCCCATCACTAGCGCCACAGTTCCCGCCCGGCATGGCGCCCTCGCCGTCGCCGCCGACGCCTCCGCTGCCCTCCCCGCCGCCGCCTCTGCCGACCCCACCACCGGCTCCGCCACCGCTGCCTCCCTTCCCGCCCGGCATGGCGCCCTCGCCGTCGCCGCCGACGCCTCCGCTGCCCTCCCCGCCGCCGCCTCTGCCGACCCCGCCACCGGCTCCGCCACCGCTGCCTCCTTTCCCGCCCGGCATGGCGCCCTCGCCGTCGCCGCCGACGCCTCCGCTGCCTTCTCCGCCGCCGCCGCTGCCGACCCCACCACCGGCTCTGCCACCGCTGCCTCCCTTCCCGCCCGGCATGGCGCCCTCGCCGTCGCCGCCGACGCCTCCGCTGCCCTCCCCGCCGCCGCCTCTGCCGACCCCACCACCGGCTCCGCCACCGCTGCCTCCCTTCCCGCCCGGCATGGCGCCCTCGCCGTCGCCGCCGACGCCTCCGCTGCCCTCCCCGCCGCCGCCTCTGCCGACCCCACCACCGGCTCCGCCACCGCTGCCTCCCTTCCCGCCCGGCATGGCGCCCTCGCCGTCGCCGCCGACGCCGCCGCTGCCGTCTCTCCCAACGCCTCGGCCAACACCACCACCATCACCGCCAACAACACCTCGCTCGCTGCCGCTGATCGACTATCCGCCTCCGTCCGTTTCTTCCTCGCCGCCGCCGCCAGACGCGCCACATCCCCACCCGCCGACCCCGCCGCCGTCGCCAGCCCCGCCGCCGCCAGACGCGCCCCACCCCCACCCGCCCACGCCGCCGCTGCCCCTGTCGCCGCCCTCCGCCTCGCCGCTGCCGCCCTCGCCAGGCCCCTCGCCGCCGCCGCCAGACGCGCCGCATCCCCACCCGCCGACCCCGCCGCCGTCGCCAGCCCCGCCGCCGCCGGACGCGCCCCACCCCCACCCGCCCACGCCGCCCTTGCCTTCAGTGCCTCAGCTTCCGCCTCTCGAGCGTTCACCACCCCTGCCGCCTGGCATGGCGCCGCCACCCTCTCCTCCTTCGTCACCCTCCCCAGCTCCATCGCCGCCGCCGCTGCCGCCATTCCCTCCCGACGGTGCGCCTTCGCCCTCACCGCTGCCTCCTCCACTAACGCCTCGCTCGCTGCCGCTGATTGCCTCCCCTCCACCGCCCTCGCTCCCGATCGAACTCGTTCCTCCATATCCGCCCGGCGGTGCGCCATCACCACCGTCATCAGTTCCTCCGGCCCCATCACTAGCGCCACAGTTCCCGCCCGGCATGGCGCCCTCGCCGTCGCCGCCGACGCCTCCGCTGCCCTCCCCGCCGCCGCCTCTGCCGACCCCGCCACCGGCTCCGCCACCGCTGCCTCCCTACCCGCCCGGCATGGCGCCCTCGCCGTCGCCGCCGACGCCTCCGCTGCCCTCCCCGCCGCCGCCTCTGCCGACCCCACCACCAGCTCCGCCACCGCTGCCTCCCTACCCGCCCGGCATGGCGCCCTCGCCGTCGCCGCCGACGCCTCCGCTGCCTTCTCCGCCGCCGCCGCTGCCGACCCCACCACCGGCTCTGCCACCGCTGCCTCCCTTCCCGCCCGGCATGGCGCCCTCGCCGTCGCCGCCGACGCCTCCGCTGCCTTCTCCGCCGCCGCCTCTGCCGACCCCACCACCGGCTCCGCCACCGCTGCCTCCCTTCCCGCCCGGCATGGCGCCCTCGCCGTCGCCGCCGACGCCGCCGCTGCCGTCTCTCCCAACGCCTCGGCCAACACCACCACCATCACCGCCAACAACACCTCGCTCGCTGCCGCTGATCGACTATCCGCCTCCGTCCGTTTCTCCCTCGGCGCCGCCGCCAGACGCGCCGCACCCCCACCCGCCGACCCCGCCGCCGTCGCCAGTCCCGCCGGCGCCAGACGCGCCCCACCCGTACCCGCCCACGCCGCCGCTGCCTCTGCCGCCGCCACTATCGCCTCGCGCTCTCCCACTGGCCGTGCCGCCGCCGCCGCCACCCTCGCCGCCGATGGGATCTCTGTCGCCGCCAGTATCACCGCCACCGACGCCGTCCTTCCCGCCCGGCGTGGCGCCCGTCCCTTCCCCGCCGTCGCCTCCGTTGCCATCCCCAACGCCTCCTGCGCCGACGTTCCCTCGCGTGCTACCGTTGATCCAGTTTCCACCCTCCTCGCCGCCAGGACCGTCACCTTGCCCACCTCCCCCGCCTTGCGTCCCATGCGAGCAGGGTCGCACTCTGCTCTTCTCGAGCTTACCCTGCTGCCATTTGGTCGACCCATGCGTGCGCGATGCAAGGGGCCCCGTGCTGCACAGCGCAAGGAGAATGCACTCACAGCACCACGGCGGCGGCAAGCCCACCGCAGTCTCTCACGCGCACCGCCAGCGCGACTCAAAGCAGCGCGGCTCCAGGCAGCACGTCGACTCCAAGCACCACCGCGCGGATCGAAAGCACAAAATGATCAAGCGGAAGCTGGCGCAATCATGGGCGAAGGAGACCGCGTGAAGTTGGCCTACAGACACATAACGGAGAGAGGCCCGCTCTGTGCTATGGTGTATGGAGAGTGAGACGGCTTTATCCTTTATCCTCCCACCGCGGATTCCCCGCCCTCCCCCCCGCAGCCCCACACCTCTCGGGGCCAGCTCCATGTATTATTTTAACTTACATTCGTTTTCCATTCACGTACCGAAACTGCGAGATGCCTGGGTTCACCGGCCGAGACTGGCCCGAGTGGGCGGCAAGGCCGGCGCAATACCGCAGAGGACGACTGCCGCGCAATCGCAGCTCGCTCTCTCCTCCGCGCCCCCTCCCTGCCCCCATCCACGCTGTACAGGCCCATTGGGCGCTCGCTGTCCACAGCCCAGCCACGCCCGCTCACGCGGCGCAGGACCCCCCCCCCCCCCCCCCGGCGCACACCTCGTGTGCGTGAGCACACACACACACAGAGCGACCCTCGACACCCTCGGGCGCGAGGGCTCACTCTCGGCTGATGACGAGCGCGGGCCAGGCACCCCTCCGCCGCGGCGCCGCCCCGCAAAGGGGGCGTTGCGCGCCGCCGGCGTCATTCCTCTCGCAGCCGCCTCCCCGCCCGCGCTCCCTTAGCAAGGAAGACGCGGGGGAGAGGCGGCTGCGAGAGCCTGGCCGCACGCTCGGTCGTGGCGCGGCGCTCCCGTGCATCGGAGCGCCGGCCTACGATCATCCGCCCGCGTTGCCGCACGCGCCGATGTCGCTCGGCGTGACGATGTCGCGCCCGCCCTTGACTCCGGCAGCCTTTGCGCGCCAGCCGGGCTGCTTGCGCGCCTCTGCGTCGTCTTGGATCTGCAGCTTCTCGAGCTTGCGCTTCTCCGCCTCGACCGCCTGCTTCTTCTGCAGCTCGGACGCCGCCTGCAGCTTCGCCGAACTCTCCGCCGACTGCCTCTCGTCCGCCTGCGCATTCAGCCCCGCAAGCCCCGCGGCGCAGCCCGCCGGGCCGAGCTCTGCAGGCAGCATAAACGCCTCGCTCTCCTCGGTGAAGCCGACGCCGATGAGCAGCGCCTTGACGCCCGAGACGGCGAGCAGGGCCCCGATCTTGGCGTTCGACTTCTTGAGAGTCCTGTACTTGGCCTCGTCTGGGTGAGCGACGATGTTGCCCAGGACTTTGCTCAGCAGCGCGTGCGCCTCGCCAAAGGGTCCGATGCGGACCTCACTCAGCATCTCAAGCCCAACCTGGGCGGTCGCGGGGCGGGGCAGAGTGAGCAGCGGCGGTGTACGCAGCCTGTATTCTGCAAGCTGCTTTGGGGCGGCGGCGGTGGCGGCGGTGCGGATGGTGGGCGGTTGTGGCGGGGCGGCACGGGCGGGCGCGGTGGGCGGTGGGTGGGGGGAGGGGCGTGCGCCTTCAGTTTGATCGGGTTCGGCACAGCGCTTGACATGGCGGCGCAGTGGGTGAAGGGAAGCTTGAGCCTCAACGGCGGCCGGACTGCACCTTGCACCTTCCTGGCATCTGCGAGACCTCGAGAGAAGCGCCCGGAGACAGGGCCCAAGTCGAGAAGTGGCTTTCTTTCGCGAGCAATGCACCTAACCTAACCTTCTATGCTGGCTGCGCGAAGAAAAGAAGATTCCGTGCACGGCCGCTCACGCCGCCTCGCCCGCGCCTCCGCCTCCCTCCACCTCCCCCACACACACCGCCGCCGCCGCCGCTCACGCCGCCGCCGCCCCCCACCTCGTCCACGCCTCCGCCAGCCTCACGCTCCCTTTCCCGCCGCAACCCTCTCCTTCGCCGCCCCCCGTCCCCACCGCCCCCCTACTCCACCCCTCGCCCTCCCCCCTGCCCTACCAAACCACCCACCGCCCGCCCATGCCGACTTCCACCCTCCCGCCGACCTCCCCGCTTCCCGCCCCTCCGCCTTCGCCATCCCCCATCTGTGCGTTCCACGTCTCTCCGCCCGCTCCCTCCCGCTTGGCGCCCATCCCGCCTTCCGCCCTCGTCCTCCGCCCCTGCCCTGGCTGGCCTGGGTGGCATCTCCTCATCATCACGCGCCAAGTGGGAGGGAAGTGGACGGGGCCCTGAGCCGACCCAGCCGCCAAACGGAATGGGGCGCCCAACACGTGCCGGATTACTGTGCCTTCCCCGGGCACAGCCTTTCGGTTCGTGAAGGGTCGGTGCGTGTCGTGACCCCCTGGAACACCCGTGCCCCCGCACCATCTCCGTTGCTCGGTTGCTTAACCTTGCCACCACCGGGAGCGGCCAGGGCTTCATAGACTCGGTCGAGAGACCCCAGATTGGCATCCATGCCTTTCTGGACAGGGTGGCCCGCCACAACGACCCCTGGAATTGCGACTCGCCGCTTTCCTCCCGCTGTGATCCTTGCGTGAGCTCTGTGTCTTGATTTGCCAACAACATACCTAACACCGTGCACGGCTTGGATGCACTTGGTCTTGGAGCACTTGGAGTGCAGTCGGCAACCTCACATCCAGGGCCGGGGAGCTAAGAAGCGCACCCAGCGAGCCGGATGATCGGCATCGGGCTACGGGCTAGAGAGCCCTGACCCCTAGCTAGGGGGGGTGCGCATTCGCAGGGAGAAGAAAGAAAGAAAACAGACAACCCAAACGAGGGATAGGGGAGGAGGACAGGGTCCACACCTGCACGAGCAGGATTTTGGAAGGACGATGAGGGGGACAGGTGGGCTCTCCTGCTCCTGGCAAGGGACACGACAGGCTCGCAGCGCGGTGCACGGTGGAATCCCAACTCCACTGGCGGTCTCATCTCAGTCTAGCGACCTTCCTCCGGCTTCTCACCGGCAGTCTCCCACTACCACAGGCACACTGACACAGGGGTGGCAGGGGCGGCGGCATGAGTCTCCCACATACTATGCGGGCCTCACTAGAGGTGCGGCCATTCGCAGGGAGGGGTCCCGTACCATGCGGAACCGACCCTATCCAGTGCTCAAGTGCTCAAGTGACGTGGGTGAAATCTCATGTTTCGAATGTTTCGCGCGTCCTCACACTCACAAAAACAGGGCACAATGCTCTGGGACACCTTCGACCCGACGGCCGCCCCTACGTTCCTTCCCCGGCCGCCGGTGCCGCTCGCCGGCGCACCGCAGGCCGCGCACGGCCTGCGCGACGCTTGGCGCTCGGCCGCCGCGAGCTTTGGCTCCGCCGTGAGGTGCCACGCGGCCCTCTCGGGCGACGCCTACGGCTTTGGCTCCTATCTGAAGAGCCTGGTCAAGGGCATCAGCACCGCCGTGTCGCACGCCTGGCTGCCGCATCCGATCCGGCTGCACGCTGCGCTGCGCACAAGGACAGACGTGACCCGGGCGCCGTTTTGGTTGGAGCTGTCACCCTCCCAGCGTGCAGCTTGCCGGCGTGGCGAGCTGGGCTGCATCTTTGAGCCCATCCTGAGCAGCAGCAGGCCGCTGCCGCCCTGCGCGGCGGCGCCACCAGCGCCGGTGAGCGAAACGAGGAGAAACGGCTCGTGGCGGCATCAGACGTTGGCGCAGAGCTACGGCGGCATCAAGCGGAGCTACCCACTGCTAGAGCTGCCCTTTTGGAGGAGCTGCATCCTCCTCGGCCGGCTGCTGCGGCCAAACGCGGCCGTGGCCAGGGCCGTCTCAGATGAGAAGGCAAAGATGGGCCTGCGGGGGGCGCCTCGCCCGTGGCTGGCATTGCACATGCGCCGAGGCGACTCGTGCAGAAAGGGGAGGGCCTTTGGACGGAATTGCTCTTCGGGCGCGGAGTACGCGCAGCGGGTGGCGCAGATGGTTGCGCTCTACCGATACCGCACCGTCTTTGTGGCGACCGACTCGGATTCCGCCCTCGGCGACCTGCGGCGGGCGATCCCGCTCGTGGGGGGCTGGCCGGGCGCGACGGTCGTCACGCGTGCCGCGGGCTCGAGAAAGGACGGGCGGCGGCAGGAGCGGAACATCGAGCAACTGCTAGACCGGGGGGAGGTGGACCCGTGGGAGGAGTTCCACGGCTTTCTCACCGACGTGCTCCTGATGGCCGAGTGCGACGGCATGGTGGGCAAGTTCACCAGCTCAATCGACCGGCTGGTCTACCCGCTCATGGTCCAGCGCGCGGGCCGTCCGGTCCCGTACTACTCGCTCGACACGCCCTGGAGCGATGAGGCGCCGATGCTCTACGATCCAACCTCGGGCGCCTTCACCAAGGCGTGCTGCCGCGGCGGCTCGCCGCGGTGGGGCGACAAGCAGAGGTGCTTCCCCTCAAAGCAGCAGGTGATGAGCTGGCAGCGGCGAGGACCGACGTGGTGCCCGTAGAGCTGAAGAGGGAGAGCGTTTAGAGGGCAGGGATGTGTATGATACGTCATTATGTCTTCACTATGTACACCGTACTCTAAGCGCTCTGCAGGACTGCAGCGTAGGCCGTGGTTAGCTCTCTCTCGCCGCATCGATCGCCGCTCGTGTGGTGCGGGGGGCGTGACAACGAGGCCATACCGCACGGCGCTTGGCGGGGCGGGGGGGGTGGGGGGGCGAAGGCCGAAGCCGCGAAGCGGGCTCGTCGCCTTGTCCGTGGGCCCGGCTTCCGTGTCGCGTGTGCGTGTCGACATACGACACTGTGATATGTGTCGTTCGCGCTGTCGTACTGTCGACCCGTGGAGGTTTGTAACTCAAACGTTTGACACCGCAAGTAAACACATTGTGTCTAACCGCCGGGACCGGGCGCGGGAAGCCCGTCCGGGTCCGGTCAACACTCACAGCTCTCAGAGGCAGCCCACCTGGCGGTAAAAGGCAAGCACCTCCGGGTGCGCCTTGACGACGGCTTGGGTCACGGCGGCCCCGCGAATCCACAGACCCACGAGCGAGGTGACGCGACTCAGGGCCACGTACACCTGGCCAAAGTCGAAGGCGTCGGAGAGCATGAGCTCGGCGCGCGAGAGGGACATGCCCTGCGACTTGTGCACGGTCAGTGCCCAAGCCAGCTTGAGGGGCCACGCGATGCGCACGACGGCGCCGCCGGGCCCCGCCTGGAAGAAGGAGGCGGGCTGCACGGCGAGCCGCTGCCCGCTGTCGAACTGGACGACGGGGCAGAGGTACTTGCCGGCGGGAACGCCGTATGGGTCGCAATGCACCTCCTGGTGGGGAGGGGTGCGGGGCGAGGGGTGAGGGGTGAGGGGTGAGGGGTGAGGGGCGAGGGGCGAGGGGTGAGGGGTGAGGGATGAGGGGTGAGGGGTGAGGGATGAGGGGGTGTCTGCAGTGCCTCGAAGCCGGCGACCACCCCGCGCGAGCCGTTGACGAGCCTAGAGACGAGACGGGAAGGCGCGTCTGAGAGGTGCAGCAGTGCCACGCCCCCCCCTCGAGCCGCCAGGCGAGCACCGCAGCTCGGGCATGTTCTTGGTCAGCAGGCACTGCGCGCCGCGCTTGAGGTCGAGCCGGCTGACCGCCTTCTTCTCTACGAGCTCGCTCAGACGCTTCTTTGCGTCGGCGGGGTACTCTCCCTGCGCATTGAGTGGCGCAGTCGACGGGGCGTGAGGGGAAACGGCTGGGGCGAGGGGGTTGGCCGTGGGGTTGGCCGTGGGAAGGGTACCTTGAAGAGGTCGGTCGCCGCGAAGCTGGTGGCGGCGCCGGGCAGCTCGGCGAGGCGCGCCGCGTTCTCGGCGTCGACGTTCAGGTTCTTGCAGTAGAGCTTGGTGGGGAGGATGCCTGTACAGAGGTTCAGAGACGGTGAGGCGAGGCCCTCCTGCCCTGGTTGGGAGGAGGTTGCGGGAGGAGGTTGCCGTCGTCGGGCTGCGGCTTGACGCCGATGTGGCAGGCGGCGAGTTCGGCCGTCGTCTCGGGCGTGCAGACGCCGACGCGGACAGAGTTGAGGAGGCCGATAAAGGGGAGGTCGCCTGGGAGGAGCCGGGCGAGGAGTGAGAGAGCTCTGTGTGCCGCCCCGCTGGCCGGGCGGCGGAGGGGGCGGTCCACCGGACTGTCGCACGATCGTCTTGAGCTCGATGGTCTGCACGCCCGCCTCGCGCCAGGCGCGGGACGCGAACGCGAAGCTCGTGTTGTACTGCCCGAGCGAGACGGGCGGCAGCTGCGGGGCGGGCAAAGGGAGGGCGTCAGGGAGGGCGGCGGCTGTCTCGCAGGCGTCTCGGAAGTGGCTCTAATGACGGGCCGCGCCTGCAGAAGCTCGCCGCAGAAGAGAAGTGTCTCGGAAGTGGCTCTAGGAAGTGGCTCTAGGAAGTGGCTCGGAAGTGGCTCGCGCCTGCAGAAAGTCGCCGCAGAAGAGAAGCTGCAGGCCGCCAAAAGGGAGGTGGGGCGCGTGGCGGACGGTGCGGCCGATCTGGTCGAGCGCGTCGAGCAGCAAGCTGTCGAGCATGGAGATCTCGTCGATGATCAGGCAGCGCGCCAGCCGCCAGCGCCCCTGCGCCGCCACGTTGCCCTCAACCTTTTGGAGCAGCGCCTGCGCGCCGCCTTTTCCGAGCCCAATCCCGCTCCACGAGTGGATGGTGACGCCCTGCACGTGCGACGCGGCGATGCCGGTGGGCGCGCACACGGCGACCTGCTCGGGCATCCTGCGCTCGAGCTCCTGAATGATGTAGCGCAGCAGGAACGACTTGCCGACGCCGGCGGCGCCGGTGAGGAACGCATTCGTCCCGGCGAGGACGATCTGTGCGGCGGCGGCCTGCTCGGGGTTGAGCGCCTCGCGGGCGATGGGCGGGGCCGCCGCGGCGGGTGGCATCGCCGCGGTGACGCTCGCCGCGGTGGACGGCTGCTTGGCGGCGCGAGACGCGGCCGCGGCGGGAGCCTTGCGCTTTGCTGGCGCGGCGGCCGCAGGGAGCGCCGCCGCGGCCGACTTCAAGTGCCCCGAGCAGATGCGGACGATGTCGTCGCCAAACTTCTGGACTTTGGCGCGGCCGAAGCCCTTGACGGCCGCGAGCTCAAAGGTTGAGTGCGGGCATGCTGCAACCAGCGCGTCGAGCTCCGCGTTGGAGAAGACGCAAAACGCCGGCTGCGAGAGTGCCGCAGCCTTGGAGGAGCGGTAAGAGCGCAGCGCGGCGTGGAGCTCAGACATGACGGCCAGTCACGCTGGACTGGCTGCGCCGGGCACGGGGCGCTTGCTCGTCCAGCCGGCGTCCGGGTCGTTCAACACAACCCGCATATGGCGGGAGGGCGATTTCATACCAAGGCACCGGTGTAGGTGAGCCATTATTTTCTGCCGATGTAGCTAAGCGCCGACTATAGCTCCAAACCCAGATTCCATCCATCAAGCCTTTGTCTACTCGGCCAGCCAGCGTCTCGAGAGGGGGGGGGGGTCTCTCTTTTGATAACAAAACTGCCACAAAACAAAACGCCTCACCGTGGTCTGTGAGATCTATAAACGATCTGAGTGACTCTCTGTACACGCACTCGACACTGGAGAAGGCGAGTCCACTCGAGACAGCGAGGACGCTCGACAAGGCGAGTGGCACGAATTGCAATCCATGCACTTCGACCGCAAGCGTGGCGAGGACGGGGCGTCCGCACAGAAGACGCTACGCACAGCCTTGTTGAACGGCCTGTGATCTCCGAACGCCGCCTCAATGGAGGCAAGGATCTGCTCCCGGTCCCAGCGCTTCGAGCACGCCGCGTTGCTCACCTGAAATCTCGAGAGGTCGACGGCTTCGCCCCGCTCGTCCTTCTCTGTCTGGCCGCACACAGACTCCTCATCCTCGAGGCGTAGCACGTGGACGTCCTCGACCGACCCGCGCGTCGTCATGAAACAAAAGAGCTCGAGGATACACCACAGCCGAGAGACGTACGTGGGCCCAGCAAGGACAACAAAGGACGAGCACCCCGAAACGAAGATTGGGAGGCCGAGCAAGCTGCGCTGAATGTCATCTTGGTCGATGCAGGCCTTGTCGAACCAGATATGAGGCTCCCTGCCATTATGTTCCTCGAACTCTCGGGCCCATGATTGGAGGGCACGGAATCTGAGCGGCCCTCTGTCACTCCAGCTGTGAGAGATGAAGGCGTCGACCTCGCCAAACGTTGCCGGCCGGGACGTCGCTCGAAAGTACAGACGCTCCTCCTCGCCGCTCTGCGCCGACTCGAAATGCTCCTCGCGTAGGGCCGACCATGGCAACATGCGAAGCATGCGAACCGCCTCGAGCGTTCTTTGCTCGAACGCCCGTGGTGAGAGCCCAGATCGCATCAGAGCTGCAACAGCGACGAGTCCGTTCGCGTCGGATGGCAGCACCATGGACATCGCGCCGCGTTGGATGCGGCCGCGGTAGAGATAGACGGGCACCACGACGCATGTCCCGATCAGCGAGCCCCAGCAGCACTGCTGCAGAAAAAAGGGCACCGCGTCTCCAGCGAGCAGGTAGAGTGCTGCCTGGGGGTACCACACGAGCTGCCCTGCAAGCTGCGTGTAGAGATCCACACGCCAGAGGCGGCGGAGCGCGCCACGGGTCGATGTCCGGTGGAGAAAACAGACCGAGAGATTCGCAAGCGTGAAGAAGGACCACCTCGGAAAGGTGCCGGCCATGAAGCAGACGATGGCTGTCGCTCTCGGGCTCCACTCAGCGGCTTCGGCCTCGGGAATGTACCGGTGCTTGAACATGTTGTAGTCGCTCGCTAGGCAAATTAGGCCCTGCACGACAGAGTAGGCTCCCACGGCGCACATTCCTTCCCGATCGACTGGGCGCAGCGCCAACAGTATCAGACGGGGAATTATGCCGTCGATTACCCCGAGGAGCGGTGCAGGCAGCGACCATTGCTCGTCGAACACCGCCTGGCTTCGCGTGGAGCTCATGTCCAAAAGCCATTTGATGTAGGCTGAGAGGTCAGTGACTGTGTAAATGGCCCACGCACAACAGAGGGTAAAATACGTGATTGCGAGTCGCACTCGTACGTCAGCAGTGTGAGCTTTGCACAAGATGCTCACGATCTCAGCGTCGCCGACGCCCATATCCTGCCGCTCGCGCCGGAGCATGCACTTCGCCGTCACAGCGATGAGAAAGAGCAGCAGAGGTGTTAAGGCGACGATGGCGACGAACGTCCAGTACACTGCATCAGGCTGAGACTGCAACGTCTGAGACTGAGCGCTCCTGTTGTGTGGCTGCACGCTATCTGCATGCTCAATTTGGATCCACAGTGCGGGAGGCTGGGATGGCGGCGAGAGCCCTTGCGTGAGCACGACCAGCGGCATTCGCTGCTCTTCAGCTGGCAAGGTTGTCGGCGAAACTGGCTGTGGTGCGTGAAGAGTTTTTTTTCAAACACCAAGGGCGTTTGCTCTGGCGAGACGTGAGGCGCATGCGCCCAGGAGGGGAGGGGGCATGCGTAACGACACTGCTAGAGATGCCTTTCGGGGCCCAGAGACAAAACTTCTGATGCCATGCGTGACCTAGTAGTGTCCCCAGCTATGGGCGTGTCCACGTTGGAGCCAGCCAGGTGTGGTGTGGGCGCGAGAATAGCTCCGCCCGTATGGAGGCAACCGATGCGAGTCGACTGGTGTGTGTCGTCATCATCTGTCTAGCGTCCACCCATACCGCGTTGGAGACTTCACCTTCCCACCTAACCTAACCTATTAAGGGGCCGAGGACAAGAGGCCGTTTGCCGCTTGCTTGTTCTTGATCTCTCTAGTTGTTTTGTTTGTTTTGATCTCTCCAGTTGAACAAAACAAGGACTGGTACGCGCACCAGGAGCTCGTCAAGGCGCGGGATGTGCACGTCAAGAACAACCCGTCCCTCGGAGACAGCGCCGTCAACAACCGCGAAGCCGCGCGCTTCGTCTCCGCCTCAACGCCTTTCGCCGGCAAGGCCTTCGATGTCCGTGTCGACGGTACGTACGCCACCGCCCTCTCCTCCGACACCCTCCAAGACGAGCTCCAGCGAAAGCTCGGCCTTTGGCTCTCCGCGGCGCTTCCCACCCTTCGGGTCGCGCTCGAGCGGGGCATGCCAGTCGATTTCTTCGGCGACTACCTTTACAACAAGGCCCACCACCGGCGGCCCCACGACGGCGTCCTCGCCGCCTGGGCGGACGCGATGCGCGCCCCGGCCAACGCGCCGGTCGTGCACGGCGACAAGGAGAAACCAGAGCTCACCCGGCAGTACAACGAGGGGTACAAGGTCGACCTCGCGGAACCCCATGCGGGACCGGGAGGATGCGATGACGTGAATGAAATCAAGCTCTGGACGCCCCTCCTCAAGACCTCCTCGCCGGGCGTTGGCAACGCCTCGAGTGGCGGCACGCCCGCCTCCGTTGGCCACTCCTACGCCTTCGGCAACACCGAAGAAAAGGCCCGCCGCCTAAACATGGGCTGCAAGGCGCGCGGGCAGCCCGGCCAACCCTTCGACCACAAGACCGGCCACGGCTACGTCAAGGCGCATCGCGGTTTCTACCACGACGCGATCTTTGTCAAGCGCAACAACTTCAACCTGCTGCTCCACGAGACGTTCGGCGGCGGCTTCTCGCCCACCGCCGTTCTCAAGCTGCGCCGCCTCGCGCGCAAAGTCGCGCGCGGCAGCGTTGACCGCACGGCCTACTCGCCCAAGTACTCGCTCTCTTTTTATGTCCCACCATGCAGAGCGCATCTCTCTCTCTGTTGTGCGAGGCGTGAACCGCGCCATTCGCTCTCACCTGGCAACCCTGTCTGCACGTCTCGCGCGCGCGTGAACAGGGCTCCAGGCCCCAAATTACGTGTGAGTGTTAGAGTTGTTTGGTATTGCTAAAAATCTCTCTCTCCCAGTTGATGCGCATCTTGCGCGCCTGCTTCTTGATGTTTTCGGCGTCGCCCGCCACCGCCGCCATGGAGATCTGCTGCGTGTGGTGGACGACAAGATTTTTTTGCAACTGTGAGCCAGCTCTAGCTAACATGAGCGCGCCGTCACGAACGATATTTTCTTTTTTTCACTCTTGGTAGCTAGCCGCGCCGCTCCAGGCCCACCAATCGCTGCCTCCCTCCGGATGGGCAAGGACCGGCGGAAGGAGAAGGCAGAGGAGAGTGAGTCGCTCGGAAAGAAGGCTGACAAGTTTGGCAAGAAGGGCGACGGCAAGATTGCGCAGAACCAGGGGCCAGACAAGTCGTTCACTCACCAGACCTGCCGGCATATCCTCGTACAGAAGCAGTCGGACGCGCTGCGGATAAGCGAAGAGATACACACGGGCAAAATCAGCTTCAACGAGGAGCGGCCGCCGCCGCGCGCCGAGCGCTCGCTGCGCTTCCCTCACTCAGTGGCGCCACCGGCACGTGCGTAGGCCGCCTTCAAATACTCCGAGGACAAGGCCGGCGCACACGGCCTTCTCGGCGACAAGGCCCAGAACGAGCTCGACCCCGACTTCTGGGCGGCTTCCATCAAGTGCAAGGAGGGAGACTGGCTGTGCGCGCCGCCTCACCTTCGACACCATTGCCCCACACTCTCTGCCACTCCGCACTCGCACCCACACGCGTTGCGACGCCGCGCAGGCGAGAACCCGTGAAGACGCAGTGGGGCTGGCACCTGATAATGGTGCAGGCGCGAATCACAAAGAAGAAGAAGTAGCAGCTGACTTCAGGGGAGAAGGCGCCGTCTCACTCACGACGGTGTCGCGGCCGGCAGAGACGAGAGAGCCCGCGCACACCGCACCAGTCCGCAGTCCCGCACTCAGATCTCAGTCTCGCCTCTCGGCATATTTTTGTCGACTTGTGGCCCATTACGTCGTCCATTCGTACACATCATGTCTCGCCGTCAATGCGTGGCGGTTTAGAACAATTTTGCGCGCCTCCGAGTCGGCTCCCACGCCGCACACGCGCGACGCCCCAGCCCCCACACATACGCTTTAGGCGCCTCTCTCACCGCTCGCAAGACGCAACAACCGCCGTTAAGCCGCGACGTCGTCCAACTCCGCAACCAACAACACGCCTTGCCCTGGCGCACATGCTGCACAGCGACCAGAGAGGGCAAGAGGAGAGAGGAGACAGAGACAGGGGAGCAGCAGATCACATCTCCAGCGCCGAGACTGCCGCCTTTTGCACCGCGACCGCCACTGCGGCGGCGGCGAGGGCGGAGACCGCAAACGCGGCCACCACGGGCTGCCTGCAGGCGGGGGCGGGGGGCGGGGGGGGGCGGAGAGGTGGAGGGGTGGAGGCGGGGGCGCGGGGAGGGCGGGGCGGAGGGCGGGGAGCGCAGGAGGAGGGGGAGCAGCAGCAGCAGCAGCAGCAGTAGGAGGGGGAACGCACCCTCCGCCCGCCCCTGCGGTGGTGCCGGCGGCGGTGCCGTCCGGCGCGCCGCGCCCCCCCGCCGCGAGGGCGCCGAGGAGGAGGGTGGCGGCGGCGCTGAGGGCACACAGAGCGAGCCTCTGCCGCGCGGCTGCGCAGAGCGCCACGCCGCACGCGAGGGCGGTGCAGGCGGCGAAGGAGAGAAGGGAGGAGAGCAAGGTCGGCCAGAGGAGGGGAGGCCAGAGGGCTCGCCACGGCTGCACGCCCGCCCCGCCCCCGCCCCCCGACAGCACCCTCCCTCTCGCGCAGTCGGCGAACCCTGGCGGAGGACGCGCACGAGCCGCACCAGCCCCAGCAGCAGCCCCAGCACCAACCCCCGCACCAACCCCTGCCTTTGCGCCCGCCCCCGCCCCCGCCCCCACGCCCCCCGCCCCCGCCCCCGCCTCGTCCCGTTCCCCGGTGCCGAGAGCGGCGTCGAGGTGCGGCTTGGCCGCCTGGTAGCGGAGGAGGACGCCTGCAGCAAGGCAGAGCGACGGCTCACAGAGGGGAGGCTCGACAAGGCTTGGGGGACAGTTTGCAGGGAGGAGGCGGCCGAGGAAGCGGAGGAGGGAGAGGTCCGGCCAGCGCACGGGCGTGAAGAGGGTGACGGCGGCCGCGGACTGCCACACCAGAAAGTCGGACAGCCGCTTCTCGCCTGCAGGAGGGCCGTAGACGCTTCGTGGAAGGGCCTCGGAGGGTGCCGCATAGTCTCCGGTGGCCGCGTCTCGCCAGAAGTGCGCAGCAGCAGGTCCACCGGCGGCGTGCGGGGGTCGTACGTCCGAAACGCCTCCTCGAGAGACCTGGCGGTGAGCTCCGACGGGCAGAGGGTGCGGGCGGCGGCGGCCTCTGCCAGGGAGGAGACGGCGGATGCGACCTCCTCGCGCGAAGTGTACGCGAAGCAGACGGTGAGGACGGCGCGCTCGTGCGCCGAGGTGAGGCGCGTGACGGCGTCGATCTCGGCGCGGACGTCGGCGGGCACCCTCGCCAGGTTCCCCACCACGCGCACGCGCACGCGCTGGGTCATGATCAGCGAGTCCTCGCGCCGCATCGAGCGGAGCTTCTCTCCCATCAGCGCCATGAGCGTGTCGACCTCCTCGGCCGAGCGCTTGAAGTTCTCGAGCGAGAAGGCGTAGCACGTCACCGCCGCCACGCCCAGCTCGGCGCACCACCGCAGGCTCTCCTCGAGCTTTGCGTACCCTCTCCGGTGGCCCTCGGCGACCGGCAGGCCGCGGTTGCGGGCCCAGCGGCGGTTGCCGTCCATGATGAAGGCGACGTGGCGCGGCAGCGGGCCGGCGGAGACCACGCTGCACGCCGCGCGCTGCCACCAAGCGAGGCCAGCGTCGCTGCTCGCCGCCTGCGGCATGAGCTTCGCGGTAGATGCGGTGGCGGCACGGCAACACGAATTCTTACCACAACCCCCTCTCACAGCCACAACTCAAGCAAGAAGAAAATCGGGCAGAGAAAAATCTAAACAGATCCGCCTCCACTCTTTGTGTGTGTGTGTGAGTGTGTGTGTGTGTGTGTGATGCCTCCGGCTGCTGCGGCGAGTGGGTGGGTTGCTGCTCGCTGCGATGGCGAAGAACTCGTCTCGTCACACGCCAAGGGCTTATGCTCTGTCGAGACGTGAGGCGTATGCGCCCAGGAGGGGAGGGGCATGCGTAACGACGCTGCTAGAGATGCCTTTCGGGGCCCAGAGATAAAACTTCTGATGCCATGCGCGACCTAGTAGTGTCCCCAGCTATGGGCGTGTCCACGTTGGAGCCAGGTGTGGTGTGGACGCGAGAATAGCTCCGCCGTTCATGGAGGCAACCGATGCGAGCCGACTGGTGTGTGTCGTCGTGGTTTCGTATCAAGAATACTCACTCACTCACTCCACTCTTTGTTGCTCGCTCGCCCGGGCGGAGGGCATGGCCGCGGAGGAGGCGGGCGCGCGCTTGCCAGGCCTTCCGCAGGCAGCCTCTCGGGCAGACTGAGGGTCGGCTTTGCGTGGCGCGGCCCGTGCGCTGCGCTGCGCAAAGCTGCGTGTGCTGAGGGAGCATCTGGTGCTTCCTTTGGGAGGTGCGCACCTCCTGCGACTGGTGGAGGGCCGTGCCGCCGCGCGCCTGCTCCGTGGACAGGGCGGGGAGACGGCGCCGCAGCGCCACAGCCTCCGCTGCATGCCGGTGCAGCACTCTGCTGCTTGGTGGGCAGCCTCCTGGATCTGTGCGCGACGTTCGCGAGGCTGCAGTGGCGCTGTACTGCCTGCCGCGGCGAGTGGCGCGCGGCACGCGCGGCGCCGCGCGTGGCCCCGTGGCCCGGACAGCGCCAGAGAGCGCGCTCGATGGGCCAGCCTGCGCGGCGCGAGCGCCACGGAAGCTGGCACATCGTTTGCATGCTGCCGTCGATTCTCTGGTCAACGGCGGTCAATCTCGCGATTGTCGATCAAACTCGGCGGGCTTCATTCGACGCCGTTTACGCGATCGGCTGGTTTTCAGCGCGTGCGGGAGCTCCTGTCTGAGCGTTGAGTCCAGGGTTGTAGAGCGCCTCTACATCGCTCTACAACGCACCAGGCGCTTCGTCACGCGGCGGATGTAGAGCTCTACAGCTCTACAGCGCTCCAGAGCGCTCTATCTCTACAGCTCTACAGCGCTCTACACTCTACATCCTCTACACCCTCCCTCAGGGAGAGCCCCACCTGTGCCCCTGATCGTCCTTGTCGCGGGGGAGGTTATTAGCCCTCTGCCAGGGCGCCGGGCGGTCTTCGCCGGCGCCGCCGTTGAGCAGAGAGGCAGCCTGGGGGTGGGCGCGGGTCGGCCAGATAGCCGGCGGTCCCCACGAGTTGAGCCGCCGTGCCGCCCGGGGTCCGCGCCCCTCCCGAAGGGTGAAGGCTTGCCCGCGGTAGCGTGCGTTGCCTGTGTGTGTGCTCCAGGATGCGAGGGACTCCACTCCGTTTTGCCCGCCGAGGGGCGGTGTGGCCCTTCGGCCGGCGGGGTGGAGCTCCGGTCTTGCTGCTTGCCCATCGATGATGCGTCGGCCCTCGGCCATGCGGCCGGGCTATGCGCTCGTTGGGGGGAGGGTGGGCGTAGACGCGGTGGCCAAGCCCGGTGTTGCCAACACGCGACGGGTCTTACGCTTACGTTTGCTCAAAGGGGGGGAGAGCGGGGTGAATAGGTGTCGAGGGGTGTCGAGGTGTCGAGTTTGGCACCTTGACACGGACGAGCATGGTCCCAGCCTAGATGGTGTCGAGGGGTGTCGAGGGGTGTCGAGTTGGTCGAGTTGGCATGGGGTGTCAAGGTGTCGAGTCGGTGTCGAGAGGTTTGGTGTCGAGGTGTCGAGGCCAGGGCTCAGGGTTTCTCCTGGTCACCGTGCACGACCGGCGCGTTGGCCGGGGCGCGCATTGCGTCCGCCCAGCGAGGCGGCGAGGACGCCGTCGTGGGGCCGCCGGTGGTGGGCCTTGTTGTAAAGGTAGTCGCCGAAGAAATCGACTGGCATGCCCCGCTCGAGCGCGACCCCGCGAAGGGTGGGACGCGCCGCGGAGCTGAGGGCGGGGGTAGATAGAGGATGTAGTATGTAGAGTGAGAGCGCTGTAGAGCTGTAGAGATGTAGAGCGCTCTGGAGCGCTTAGCTTGGCCAGCACACATGTTTCCGGAAACCAAGAAGGAAACGAGAGGGTCCCCAGCACTTGTCGTTTCCGGAAATTTCCAGGGAAATCAGAGGGTGTTTGGAGCTCCATTCTGGCAACTCTCGAGTTTCCCTGCCTGAGTCTGAGAGCTGGTCTGGGGCAAATTCTGAGGCGAAACCGAGGAACCGGCAAAAAACCCGGATTTTTTTGCCGATTTGGCTGATTGTCAATGTAACTGATTGTGGGCCCAAACCAGCTGATTTCCACGGAGTTTCCTCGGGAAACTAGAGAGGAAACGAGAGGGTGCTGTAGAGAAACACGGAAAGGAAACGAGACGGGGTGAGCGAGGAAACATGTGTCGAAAAGAAACACCTTTGGTGAGAATGCGCAACAAGCTTCACCTCCATTACCGCTCTGGATACTCTCTCTTTGACGCGCCCGCGCGCCCCCGACACTGCGCATCCCCGGCACTGCATCGCGCTACATGGGCTCGCGGCAGAAGCGACGCTTCGAGGTCGAGCCGCTCGCCAGCCCGGTGGGCGGGCGCGGCGATGACTCAGACGACGGCTGGTGCACCACGCCAGGGGGAAGTGTAGCTGCGACCCCGCGGCTCAACGCGTGCGACTCGCCCCGCTCCTCCGCGTGCGGCTCCTCGGCCTCCGCGGAAAGCCCGTGGTTCCGCATGGAGGCGCGGCACACCGACCTGCCCGCCTTTGGCTGGAATCGTCAGCACAGCCAGCCAATGTGCCTCTCGGAGCTCTCCTCCTCCCTCGACACCGCCGCGGCCGAGCCACGCGCCAGCGCCATGTCCGCCTCGTCAGCCTCCTCCTCCTCCTCCGCGTCCTCGCGGCGGCCGTTCGCCTCGCCGGCGGCGCCCAAGCTCCCCTCGAGGCCCGCCCCGCGCGGCGTGCACGCCGTCCCCGCGTGGTGTGGCGGCGCCGCCCCCGACGCCGCGCCGCGCAAGCCAGCTTTCCGGCGCGTCGGCGCTGCTTGGACGCCCCCCCCCGTGGACCGCCCGTCCGCGCCGGAGGTGGCGATGCGGTAGCCCCCCCCCCCCCCCCTCAGCAGCGGATCGCACACCCGAGAGACAGATGAGTGCGGGGCCCCAAGCCTATGTGTCCCAGAGCACCTCCGTCTTGTGCGTAGTGCATCCCGTGAGTGAGGCGGCGGTACGTTTTGTGGCCTTTTTACGAAAATCGAGGCGAGACACCGCTGGAGACACGTGGAGAGAGCGATCCCCCTAGTGCCTCGAGCCCTCCACGGCCACCAGCAGCAGCACCACGCCCCACACCCTCCAAGCCCCAAGCCCCAAGCCGGCCAGGCGCAGGCCCCAGCGCCGCTACCGCAGCGCGCAGCGGGAAAGCACACCTCGTCAGACGTCACACCGACACGAGAGTGGAGAGAGAGACCAAATCACAACGGTCCGACCCGTGCGGATGACCCATTCCACATTGCGCGTGCGCGGAGCCGGCCGCTCTCTTGCCACGGTTGCCGCCGACCCACGGCCGGGACACAGTCCGACAGTGCCACGGGGGCGCGCGGCGGCTAGGGCTAGGGCTACGGCGTACGAGCTCCTGCCCTAGCGGCGCGCGACCAGCCACCCCCGCGACGGGCGTACATCTGCACCCCCGGCGTGGAGGCGTAGGAGGGAGGGGGGGGGAGCGGGGCGCCGGCGGGGGAGCGGGAGGGACTCGTAGCGTCAGCACGCGCCGACGCGTCCGCCCCCCGGCACCGCGTCGCAGCCTCTCGGCCTGCCGCCGCCCGCGCCGCCGCCCGCGCCGCCCAACTCAAAGAGGGCCGCCTTTGCGCCCAGCTCGACTCTGCCGCACGCGCCGCCGAAGCCCCTCAGGCCGGCGCCGAGCGCCTGGCGGCGAAGGTCACGGTGCGGTCAGCGGAGCAGGCCCACGCTCACAGCGGTGGGGCAGAGGCGGGGCGCCTCGCTCACGCGCGCGTCTCTCTCGACGTAGAGCAGAAGCGCGCGGCCGAGAGGCGCGGTGGCATTCCGCACCTGCGGTGAGGCGCGAGTGTGAAGACGCGAGTGTGAAGACGCGAGTGTGAAGAGGCGAGTGTGAAGAGGCGAGTGTGAAGACGCGAGTGTGAAGACGCGAGTGTGAAGAGGCGAGTGTGGAGAGGCGAGTGTGAAGACGCGAGTGTGAAGGCACCAAGGGCAGGGCGGGGGAGCGGCGTGGTGCCGTGCTCCGAGCTGGGGTGCACCAAGGGCAGGGTGGGGAGCAAAGGGCGCAGCTCTGCTGGATCTCGGCTCGATCTCGGCTAGACCTCGGCTAGATCTCGGCTAGATCTCGGCTGGATCTCGGCTAGATCTCGGCTAGATCTCACCGTCTCGAGTAGGGCGGGCAGCGCGGCGGTCGACTGTGGGTAAACCTGGAAGGGAGGGGGGCCGGGGGGGGGGGGTAGTGTGCCGCGTGTGCGTGCGTGCATCTCTCTCTCTCTCTCTCTCTCTCTCTCTCTCTCTCTCTCTCTCTCTCGCTCTCTCTCTCTCTCTCTCTCCCTCCCTCTCTCTCTCTCTGTGCGTGTGTGTGCGTGTGTGTGTGTCCGTGTGTCCGTGTGTGCGTGTGTGCGCGCGTGCCAACAGTCGGCGTCTCTACCTGGCGGCTCACCACGTCTGCAGCCAGCACAAGCTCGAACCGCCCTCCTGCCGCAGAGAGGGCTGCGGCGAGGGAAGGGGCATCGCCTGTCACTCCAGATAAAAGCCATTGAGCATTCCTTAAAGAGACGGCTGCGGCGAGGGAAGGGGGGGCATGCCCCAGGCGAGACGACGCACGTCGACGGCGCCCTGCAGCGGAGGGGCAGAGGGGGGGGGTGAGGATGGGCGAGGTTGAGAGAGGGGGGAGGGAGGGGGGAGGGGGGGGTCCGAGCCGCGTCAGGGACGTGTGTAGAAGGGTGTCCAGGGGGTGTCCAGGGGGTGTCTAGGAGCCGTCTATTCTCAGAGCTGTCTCGGAGCCGTCTCCTGCAGCGCCGGGTTGAGGGAGAGAGAGGCGGAGGAGGCGCTGAGGTCGCGGTCGGTGAGGGTGACGTGCGCCGCGCCCGCCGCCGCCGCCGCCAGCCCCGCGACACCGGTCCCCGCACCGATCTCGAGCACCCCGCGCCCTCGCACAAGGCAGGGTTGCGCGTGCAGCAGCTCCGCAAGCAGCTCGCCACCTCGCCAGACGGCCCCATGCGTCCAGTCGTCGCCGCCGCCGCACGACTCGACCGCCGCCGCATCCGGCTCGCCCGCGTGGGCTGGCGGCGCGCAGAAGGGGCTGCAGGAGCGCTCGCGCGCCAGCGAGACGCAAGGCTGCGCAACGCGGGGGCGAGGGTCGCAGGCGGTAGCCACGGACAGGGCGAGCATGGCGCGGAGAGGATGACGCGATCACCGCGCCTTTGCGAGCCCGATGCGGATCTCCTTGTCGCTGGGCTGCTGCGCGCTGTTGCTGCTGCTGCTGTCGGCCTGCTGCTTCTCGTGCTTCGCCGCCTCCTGCTTGTGCGCAAAGTACTCCTCGCGGTCCTCGGGCTTGAGGTCGATACGCGTGGCCTTGCGGGTGAGCATACCTGTAACGGCGCGGCCGGATTTGGCGCGGCCAGATGTGGGGCGAGGATGCGCCAGCGGCCGGGGCGAGCCTAGGACCGCTGTTCGAGTGTAGCAAACGCGAAAAAAGAAAATAGCCCCTCTCACAACATCCTGCTCGTGCAGGTGGGGACCCTGTCCTTCTCCCACCCCTCGTTTGGCGTGCCGGTTTTATTTATTTATTTATCCCCCTCTCACGCGCCTCACACCCGTGAGACTACTGGAGAGAATTGCCAACAACCAACTTCGGGGGCAAGACTCTCTCGCTGGCCCGACGCCCACGCCCGTACCTTCTCCGCGCCGGTCCACCACCAAAGCTCAGTGCCGCCAGCCCAGGCACCCACCGCTCAAGTCAGCCACGCCTCGTGCTGGCGAACCGCCCCGCCACGACCGCCGCGCACGCAAGGGAGGGATGGGAGGACGGCACGCCGCCACCACACAGGGATTTTAAGGAGAGGAGTGTGGTGCTAGCCGTCGCCCACACCCTTTGGCGTCTGCCTCTTCCTATCTCTCTTCGCAGTCCCTCGCTCGCCGATTCTCGCTGCAACCTTCATGCCACCTCGCGGTCGTCCCACTCTCGTCGTTCCAGGGATTCCTGTCACTGCGAGCACAAAGGCGGCTCCCGTGGTGTACCTGTGTTAGTGCCAGTGCGCGCCAGTGTCGTAGGTAGGTAGGTGTGTCGTGCGAGGGTCGGTAGCGAAAGCGCGCAAACAAATTCTTTTGAAGACTCGGCGAATTTGAAGTTGTCGCCGACCGATCCGGAGCCAAGGCTCTCCTCTCTCGTCTCCCTCTCGTTCTTCACGGGCGCGACCCTCTCCGAGGCCGACGATGTCACTCCCCACGCCACGCTCCCCGCTCTCGCCGCTCTTCTCTCCCAACGGACGCTCTCCCAAGCTCGGCCAGCGCCGCTTTCCCAAGTCGCTCTCTGCTCCGCTCAACTACGACTCGCCCGCCGCGTGCGATGATGAGTGCGAGTCGTCACCCGAGGCATGGCGGCCGACGGCTTCCAAGTCGCTCCCAACCTGGCTGTCGCCCGGCGGGACCGTCGCCACCACCGGCAACGACGAGGCGATCGTCGCGGCACCGGCGCCCCGGCGGACGCGGCGACACGGAGGAGCGAGCATCCTCCTTGTCCTCTTCTCGCTCCTCGTGTCCGCAGGCCTCATCTACCCCGCCTGGCGTGCAGCGTCCGCCGGAGCGGCGATGCCGGGCCCTCGAGCTCCGTCGGCCACAATCGCCAGCAGCGGCAGCAGCCAGCTCTTGCTGCCTTGCGGCGCAGTTTGCCGGTGGAGCTGGTCGCGCTTAGCCGCAGGCCTCGCACCCTGCGGGCCGAGAACGGCGTGCCGCTGGCGCGTTGCGTGGCCGCTCGGCACGAAGTGGTGCGCGCCCGCCGCCCGCAAGTGAAGCGCGCAGAAGGAGGGCCTGACTACAGCCAGCGGCCACGACTCGGCTCTCGGGGACAGAGGGGCCTCTGGCCTAGCCTCTGGCGGAGCATGCCGTTTGGGGGAGATGGCGCTGGCAGTGGGCGCTCGATCGAGGGCGCACCACCGCAACCACATGGGCTTTTGGAGTCCTTGGCGAGGCGCGGGCGGACGGGTGACCGACGCACGTTCTGCATATGATCGCATGGTGTACTGTACTGGTTACTCGCGCTACTGCCTACTGCGTACTGGTCCTACTGCGCGTCCAGGGGCGCAGAGTCGAGTCCCCCTTCTTTTGCGTTTTGGGCGCTTCTCTGTGCGTCTCGTTTAACTTTAAATTAATGATGTCACAAGGCTCAAGGTCAAGCCGACAGGCATCAGGCTGGGTAAGAGTGTATAACTCGCGCGCGAAACTGTGTTCTTTCTAAAATGAATTTCTATTACCAATTATACGTACGTTACAAAGGTAAAACCCCATCGTAGTTGTTGCACCCCATCGATCATCGTCTCGCGCGGACATGCATGGATGCAACAAAGGGGGACTCACTCGCGGCCGGCGCTCGCTCCCTCGAGTGAGAGAAAAGAGAGATATACAGCGAGGGGGTCAGAGGTGTGTGAGCTACCTACCTACATATTGCGGCGTGTTGCCGCGGGGGCAGAGCTCAATAAGCGGGGGCGGTGGCGGCTCTCGACAGAAGCTCACACCAAGAAGTCGGCAGTGGCGGAGACGCACGAGCTTCTCCTCGGCGGCGGCGGCGGCGACGGCGGCAGCGACGGCGGCGGCGAGGCGGTAGGCGAAGCGGGCTCCGAGGGCGGCGGCGAGGGCGGCGGCGACGCGCCGTACCCGGTCGTCGCGGGCCGAGCCGCCTTGGGCGAGCCGATCCGAAGCCGGCCCAGGCCCAGCATGCTGCGCTGCGGCTTGCGGCGGCCCTGGGGCGCCGGGGGAGTCGCCTCCGCAGGGGCGGCGACGGCCTTTGGCGAGTGGCCCTTTCTCAAGCGCAGCTCGCACGCCACCCGGTCCACCCAGTCCTTGTGCGAGGCGTACAGCGCGGCGTAGCGCGGCTCGGCGTCGTCCACGTCGAGCCAGGTCACGTTGTGCGCGTCGTCGCCCGCGCGGAGCGGCAGCTGGACGGCGAGGTCGGCCGTGCAGTGGAAGTGGAACGCCGTCGTCTCCATCCACGCGTTGTCCGTGTTGCGCGGGTCGTCGACGTAGCCGCGGTACACCACCTCGCCGTGCGCAAACAGCTCGTCGACGGCCGCGTTGAAGGCGGCGCGCTCGGCGTCGGAGGCCATGTTGCCCGCCTCCTCGGCGAACTCGCGCCGCACCGTCACCGACACAACCTCGCCCGCGTCCACCATCCCGCCCGGCAGCGCCCAGACGCCCGTGTCGCCGCGCTGGATGGCGACAATCTGCAGCTTCCGCTTGTCGCCGGGCTTCCAGCGCGTCACGATCGGGTCGGCGGCCCGGTTGGGCCCCCACTTGCCGAGCATGCCCCGCCCGCACACGCCGGTGCGGCCGCGCGGGTTGACTGGCCGCTGGTCCGCGTCGAAGAAGAGGGGGCCCTCGCACGAGAGGCGGTGCTTGAGCTCCGCGAGGTTCGGCCGCGGGCTGTCGGCCCAGCCGTTCGGGTTGGCGTCGCTCCGCTCGGCCGCGAGCACCGAGGGGGCCACGAAGGGCACCGGCGAGTACTCTGGCCAGGGCACCTTCCAGCTCACCTTTGCGTCCTCGACCGGGAAGCGCGGCGGGTACTTCGGGTTCTGCTGCGACCGCGCGTGCACGTGCACCGTGGAGTGCGCGGCGAGCGCGCGCTGAGCGTCGTTCAGCTGCTTGCGGAGCGACTCGACCAGCGCCGCGTCGGCAATCGGGGCTCCGCCAGCCGGCGGCGGCGGCGAGCGCGACACCTCGGGGCTCACGCTGAAGCTCGCCAGCGGATTGTTGGAGAAGGACGCCAGCCCGTCGCCGCCGTGGGGAGAGATGACCGAAGAGCTGACGGGGGCCGTCGCCACGCCGCCCCTGGCCGTCGCCTTGTGCGCCGTCGGCCGCGGCAGCTCCGTCGACGACGCCGACGTGAGCTCGACCGGCGAGGCGCCGCGGGGGGAGCCCGAGCGCGGAGACTGCCGCGGCGTCATCTCGGTGGCGGAGCTGTAGCCGGTCGCCGACGCGGCGCCGGCGCGCAGCGAGCCGCCGAAAGGCAGCATCGTGCCGCCAGGGTAAGGTTGCGCGGTCTCGCGCATGTGCGCGTGCAGGTTGATGAGCGACTCCTGGATCTCGAGGCACTTGTCGGTGACGCGCGCCTGCTCGAGCTGCAGCGCGGAGATCTTTGTGTCCGTCATCTCCTCGCGCTCGCGCTCCTCCTCGTCGAGCAAGTCGGTGAGCCAAGTCAAGTCCTGCCGCGCCATCACGTCCAGAACCGCCTCGGGCAGCGTGTCCGAGAGCAGCGGCACCACCTTGACGCCGCGCCGGTAGCCGAGGCCCTGCGCGCGAGAGGTCGACATGCGGCGCAGCTTCGTACTGTTCGGGCCAAGCCGCAAGACGCGCGACCTCTTCCGGCAGCACCGCGGCGTCATGAACTCGAGGCAGCGGCGGCAGGCGGCGGCGAGCCTGCTGCAAAAGAGGCCCGACATGCCCTTCGAGATCTCGGCGACGAGGAAGGGGAGCGAGAAGGGGGGCGGGATCCAGAAGACGGACGACACAAACTCGTCGACGACGTAGACACGCGAATACTTCCACTCGTTGTCGGCGTTCTCCTTGATCTTCTCGTACGTCTCGCTCATCATCGCGATGAGCAGGTTGACCAGTACGACCTGACGCACGCGCGGAAAGAGAAGGGGGTGGGGCCGGCGGGTCGCGACGGGGGCGAGGCACGGCGTACAGCGCGGCCGCGCGCCTGCGTGAGGAAGGAGAAAGTCCACAGCAGCATCGGCCCGAGCCAACCGCCCGCAACGCCCACGTTGTGCAGCTCGCCGAACTCGCCGAAGAGAGCCCACCACGGCAGCGCGAACGCGCCGTCCGTGTCGAAGCTGCTCTCTCCGAGCGACGGCATGATTCCGACCATCGCGGAGCAGAAGGCGGCCATGACGAGGCAGAGGATGAAGCTGAAGAGCATGATGTCCTTGGAGAGCTCCTGCAGGATGATCGAGAGCACGCCGATCTGCTTGTAGATTTGCAGCCACAGGATGGGCCGCACGAACGCGTAGATGGCGCACACCGCGAGCACCACCTGGGCGTACCACAGCGGGTCGCAGCCGCGGTACACGTTCGACCAGATGTCGAGCGCGTCGAGCTCGCCGTCCTCGCCCGCGACCGACTCCGGCAAGGGCCCGCCGCCGCCGCCGCCGCTATCGCCGCCGCCGCCGTTGTGC